TTCCACAAATTCTGGTGCTTAAAACTGATATTTACCATCTGGGGAGGAACAAACCAGCCGACATTGCTCACATTGCGTGCACGATGCTGACATATTTGCCTATTGCAAATGTACATACTGGAATGTGCCGGTGGGCAGATTTTGCAAAGCCACAAATGATTAAAGAGGAACTCCACCAAAATTTTTGGATTTCTGCAAAGTTCAATCATTGAGATGTAAACAAAGTCATTCAGAGTGGTCTGATGAGGTATACTACCATGAGACAAACAAGTTTATTTTCTCACAAAACAGACAACATTTTGTATATTTCTGCTTGTTTTCTTGTTTTCCTCTGTTCCTTCTATCCTGTGCCCTGAAGAAGGAGCTGTGGGACGGAAGGATGAGCGTATTTGAGAGTTGGAAATAGACGCTGAAAGGGAGAATGTGAAAATAAACAGCACTGACGCAGCAGGTTGAACAAAGATGGTAAGTGTGTTTTAAACGCCAACCATCCATCTTACATAACAAAACAAGTCATCCCAGTAGCTGTGAGATCGATGCCAGAAACCTGCTGCGCTAAACAGAACAAGCTCTTTCTCTGTTGTGTTATGTTTGATGAACTGAGACTCTTCTTAAGTCTTCAAGAATGTTCACACATGCATTTAAGATTCGTGTGGCATATGCTGGTCCTGCCAGCAAATTGGGTGAAAATATATATGTTAAGTTCCTTTTTAATTATATTTTTATTAACTTAACAAATATTCAATTCATATTTCAAATATTGGCAAATATTTCCTTAACCCTTCACATAGCCAGGGCCCACTGGCAGGCCCAAAGTTTTATCACACACACACTTCTATAACCCAAGAATAGCTTAGCCAGTTTGCACTTAAGTCCCTACAGTTACAGAATAACAAGCTTAATGTAATAAGCCTGTGAGTTTAAGGTGCTACAGGGTAATTTTAAGGTTTTGACATTTTCAAAATAAAATTTCAAATGTTCTGCATCATTCAGTGCATGTAAACAAAGTCATTGACAGTGGTTTGAGTTAAAGGCTCTAGTCTAGGGATGATTACACAATGATGGTGAGAGGAACCAGATCCCTCACAGAAGGTTATTACATAGAATGGTTATGAATCTGTTGCCTAATGCAAACGAGACATTGTTTTATGATCATTTGGAGAAGGTTTTGGCCTAAAACGTATTTTTAATTCAATCATTTCAAAGAAATGCATTCAGAAGGCTATGATGCAGGATTTACCTCTATTTTAAGATCAACATTACATATAAAAACTCAGATAACAAGTGTAGTCTCACTGATCATTTTGGATAGTTAATAAAATAGTTTAATTTGCTTAGAGATCATGACCCCTGGTTCCTACCACCACCACTATAAAGAAATCTTCACATCAATACACAAATAAACATGAATGCTCATACATTTACACCTCTGTGATCTCCACTTTTACTGGTTTTAACTGTAGAAATGACAGAATGTCCCTTTTTATGTTTACACAGGAAGGCCCTGATAAAAGTATCAGTATTGCTATTACTGTATTGGTTTCAGAACAAAACTAAAGTCAGGGGTACCTCCCATCATTAGTGAGGACTACCAGACTCTAGTCGATCCAGACAAATGCTGTTTCTTCCTCCCCGTTTTGGCCTTGAACCTGATGGCTACTAGAGTTATTTTTTTCCCTACACACAATGTGAATGGTCTATTTAAAAAGGTCTTAGTGTGTGGGCTGAAGAAATGTTTCAAGCATGACCTCAGGAGACAGCGTATGAGATCATTCTTTCACTCTGTCAGGATGATATGATCTTCCAGACTGGCTCAGGTCAGCAATCTTTCAGCTCCCATGACTTTCAGACTGACTAAGCTACCAACTGCAGGTAAGAAAGAGCCTTCAGACAGTTTTTACTGCTGATAACAAAGCAAACAAACCTCAGACTAGACTAAGTCTACTTAGATAACCTCACTGGTGCTGAAGGTACCCTTATGTTATTGGGGTAAATCTCACCGAGCGTGACTTATTTTATAGTACAGACATCAGCCTTTGTGTATACAGAACAGTTGTTTATTATGTTTACCATTATGACCCACCTGGAAAATAGTAGATCCATCTGGTCTAGCCATAACAACAATTACTGGCTTATTCAGGATAAGGCGTGAATAGCAGGATGTGCGGTTTGGAATGTGTGTTTTAAGCTGGTTTCATTCTTGTTTTGGTCTATGCTTGTCTTTCCTATGACTTTGTTCCAGGCAGCTTGTGGTAAACACGCAGGGGCATGTGAACTCACAATATCCAGGAACCTCTCAAAGTAGAGAATACAACAGTTCCTGATGTCCAACCTACTAATACAACAATAAAGTCCTATGCTAACAGTTTAGCCACTCCCAAAACCAATGAACAATGTGTACAACAATCATATTGATGTTAATGGGGAATTCCACCAATTTTTTCAACATAATCCAATGGCTGCTATGCAACCAGTCTTTCAGAGTAGTTTGATGTGAAACAGCCTATTGTAGAGAAACTGATTCTTTACAGTAGTGGTGAATGGAACCAGGGGTCACAATATTTGCAAATATGGCCATTTCATTTACTATCCAAAATGGACAGTGAACCTACACAGGTATCTGAGTTTTTATATGAAACTTCGAGGATGGTAAAGTGTTGAAAATCTGAAAAAATATGTTTTCTTTGGGGACTTTTTTGGTCTGACAGCGCTGTGCACATACCTCTCCAAGAACAGTTCTAAAAAAATTCACATCCCATCCAAGATTGTTCAATAAAAATAATGCAATAACTTTATCTTTATTCACTTGAACCAAGTCGACAGCCAAAACTACCCAGTAAAAACACCAATAAAACCATCTCATACAGAACCTGTGGCCTACTTTGCGTGAGAGCCATGCAAAGTACACAGCTCAATCATTCCCTCTGTGAAAGTGTTTGTTAACGACCATATACATAATCTCCGATAGCTCTCGGCCGGCCCTTATAAAGCAACAAAATGGCATAGAGAGGTGCAATAAAACTGATGAAAGCACACAGTTGTCTAGCAACAACATATTGTGGGCATGGAGCGAAAGGGCAGGTTAATTATTATCCACAAACACATGCTCTCTCTATCTCCTAACCTGACCAAACCAGACCAGTCGGGTCAAGAGTTAATGGTTATATGCAGCCACATGAGTGACTGAGTCGCGAGTTCTCTGCCCTGACCCGCAGACTTCAGCCGAGTTCTGAGAAGGGCAAGAAGCCCAGAGCGACAGCTGTGATCTGATTTAATACTGTAATGAGCAAACAGCCATTAGGGCCTCTCACAGGTCATTAAAGATGCAGCAGACATCAGGGAATGTGGCACTAAACCTGATTAAGCATCTGCCCAGCAATCTGAGGGGATAAGTGAGTTTAGACCAACACCTCTAAACTCTGCATATGCTGACTAGAGGAGGTGCGATAACACTTTTGCTTCCTGACACCAATACTGTTATTGAAACCCTGAGTATCTGACGATTCCAATACCTAGTAGTGGGCAACACAGTGGTTCAGTGAGTATACCAGTTGATAATCTTATGGTATTAGTTTAATTGTAACCATTTACACCAGTATGCCATAAATATGTACAGACAATATAGTGTAAAATGTGCTATGTTTTCCCTTTTAGCTGAATGGCTAAATGTTTCACTATTAACCTACAAAGCATCTTAAGCACCTAAAGTGTTTTTTATTAAAATATATATATAAATGTTAAATTTGGACTGTGACTTTGAGCCAAACAGGAAAAAAGCAATACTCTTAACATGAACTAGGATCCTTTAGGATGCATACCACTGAAAATTAAGGTCCAAAATGACTTGGAAAAAAAGTCTGGTCCCATTGACTTACATTAAAAGTAAATAAGTAACTTCGGTTACTGTTCAAAAGTTTGGAATCAATAACATAAAATGTGGTTGCAGATTAAAGAGGAAGCAGAAAATGATTTTAATATGCAAGTACTGTACAACTTCGCAAGTTTTTAAGACATTGGGAAGCTGTAAATAAACGTAAGAAAAGCCATAGAAGGACTAAAAAGGCTGTATAACATCACGAATGAAGTTATGATAGAATTTATATCAAGAATTCATCATATTTCAAAACTGAAGATCAAACCTGAGAACATAAATGAATGTAAATAGACATTTGGCATGATACAGGTTCTCATTTAATACAATCTTATTAACAGGATTTTTGAAATACTGAATAAAACATCTGTAATATTCAAATCCACGTTGTAGTTAGAAATTCATATTCTATAAAATAGCAAAAAATTAACATGGCAAGTGATTCCAAACTTTTGAGAGATAAGTCTTCCTAATAAGCATACCTAAATATAATGTAAATGTTCTTTCCAGATAGACTTTGGAGATTTTAGTGATATGTTTTGTCATAAAATGAAAGACGAATCTATCTTTTAACATAAAACAAGTGATTGTGATTTATGTACAAGAATAATGAAACAAAATACAGAAAAGATAAAAAGTCTTGACTGGGCTTAGTGTTTTTATGATAAAAGAAAATGATATCAATATATAATAATTCCTCCAGTTTTATTTCAGAAAAATGACTTACCAATCATTTGTAAGCTTATGAACAACAGAAATACGTTTTTATGAAGGAGGAATAACAAACATTTAGACTGCATAAAATGTAATGTCTGAAACGGCACAGGATGTTTCTACCACACACTGACAGTAATATATCAGCTAACATTAGTGCATTATAAGTGTGCAGTCTTTTGATGAAGCTTCACTGGGTCGCTTATATTGAATTACTGAATGAATTCGGGAAAACATATTTAGCAGATGTTTTCCCCTCTGGGGTCAATTTGATAGTCTTATTTCTGGGCAGTCTGTCCACAGAAATGGTCACTTACTGACCCTTAGACTCTTTAAATCCCCTGAGGTAGCTAAGTAGCTAAGAAGCTGCCAAAAGCCAAAGCCAAAGCCAAAGCCAAAGCCAAAGTAAACTCACCGCTCTGTCCTCCGACCTGATGTCGTCAAACGTGCACAAACTCCGCGTCCCGCTCATTTTCTCTCAGTTTTTCTGTAGGCGAGTCCTGTAAACTCTTGTTCTTTTTAAATAAATAAGCAAACAAATAAAGCGCTAAACCGATAAAAACAGCCGCTGTCTTTCCTGCACGCTCCTCAGATTAGCTCTGCTAGCTGCCTGCTGCTGTAATCTCGTTTGACTGAGGACGGTTACGAGCTCCGCTCACTTTTGTTTTCCCGCCCGTATTCTGACCAGTCCCGCCCTCTCTGCGCTGTGATTGGCTATGATAACACTGACCCCCTGCGCTAGGATTGGCCAGAAGTTTATAATTACAGAAAAAAAGGTCCGCCCTACGGGTTGTGTGTGAACTACTAGTACAGGGGGCGGGGCTTTCCGGAATGAGGGTGGATTGCAGGATAACTAACCCTTCTGGCGAAAAATTCCACCGCATTCCAGCGCCATGAGTTCAACAGGCTTTCGGCCAGTCACAGAAGTCTAGCTGAGGTGATATGAAACGAACAGAAGCTATGATTTTTTGCAAAGACAGTCTAAATCCGTCCTAAGTTTCTTTTTGACACAGCCAACGACTCAATGATTTTTTTTTTCGCTGTAGGCTGTAAACAATCGCAATTGGCTACTAAGTGGCTTTGAGAAACCGTTGTGTTTGGAGAGGAAGGTGAGAAGGGACACCAGAAATTTTTGGTAAAAGAGCCAAACTTGAATCAAAGCTAGATTTAAGCTGCACATCTCTGAGATCAATTATGAGAAAACTACGGAGCCCCTAAGGTGACCTTGTGGTAAGTTTTTTTAATAATAACAAATTAATATATTGAAGCCACAAATAATATATCTAGGCAATGAGTTACTATATTGAGGCCACAAATTACTCTATCAAATGCATGAATTATTATATTGAGGACACAATTTACTATAGTGAGGCCACACATTTCTATACTAAGTATATGAATTACTATAGTGAGGCCACAATTTACTATATTGAGGCCAAAATTTACTATTTTGATGTCACAGATAACCATATTTATGCCACGAATTATGAAAAACTTAACTTGTGGCCTCATTATAGTAATTCGTGGCCAGCCCTATTATTAAAAAATAAGCACAGTGTGATCTTAAAGGCTCTGTAGGAAACGATCCCACCACATACTTTGCCTACTAAGGCTTATCAAGCCTTTTTGTCATTAGATATCCAGGACAGTCATGTAAACCCTGCCCAAACTGGACACAGCACGTAAAACGAGCCATTACCCCCACACAGTGACCTTGTGACTTCACAAGAGAAAGAACTATTAGAAACTCAGGGTGTGTAAAACATTACAGTGTGCTGCACCTCAGATATGTGTGGGCTGGTTGCTTAACACGTTTGAACCTCTTCTTCTCGATACTCTAGGACACGCCAAGCCATATTTCAGGGATTTAGTCATGGATAATACGTCTGTTCCTATAGCACAGCCTCTCTCAGTGTGGTAATGATGCCCAGAAGCTCTTATTATACACTGATGGAACTCAGCAGTCACACTGCGATGAATAGTGCATTGTGATAAGTGCTATTTAAATGGCCTGTTGAGGATTCACACGCGCATGACTGTTTGTCAGTTTGGAATGCAGCTAATCACACCTGATAAAGTTTAAGGTTGTTTAAAGATGTGTTGTGTTGAGGAATGGTGTTAAACAGTTATATACAGTATTGTGCAATAGTTAGAGACCTTACTTAATGGCCGGTTTGACTGAAAATTAAAGAAAGTGATGGAGCCTAATCTAACCTCAAAACATTTAATAAATGCCTATGGTTGAATTTGATGACACTGGATAATAGTGATCTATGCATCTATATTAGGTTGTAGAAGAAAAAAATTTAAATATATTAATCACATCATGATTATTTTTTAATAATAGGGCTGGCCACAAATTACTATATTGAGGCCACAAGTTACGTTTCTCATAACTCGTTGCATCATAGTAATATATTATAGTAATCCGTATAGTAATCCGTGCCGTCAATATAGTCAATTTTGGCTTCAATATATTAAATTGTGGCTTCAGTGAAATATATTGTGGACTCAATATAGTACATTTTGGCCTCAATATAGTAATTTATGGCCTCACTACAGTAATTTGTGTACTTAATATAATAAATTGTGGTCTCAGTGTAGTAACTTTTGGCCTCACTATAGTAAATTGTGTCCTCAGTTTAGTCATTTGTGGCCTCACAAATGAATAAAATATATAACAAATATATTACATAACTGGGTGTGCACATGTTATATATAGACACAAAACAGCACTCTAAACACTGTATTCTGTGTAATACAAACAAGGCTAACCTGGTACAACAAGCTCATTAAGGCAATGGATGAAAACTAAACAACCTTTCTGCATTCACTGCCACACCTCCACACACCTTTTCAACATTATTAGACATGAAACTGATCTGCTCTCACCCATCATTCAAAACCATTTGCAAGAAACATGCAGCAGTATTTGCATTTTAGCTCCTTGCACATTTAGCTACATTTCCAAATAACCTTCTAAAAAGGTCACACATTCTTTTCAACACCACAAACACATACCTGGCCTGATCAAGCCCATTCTCTGGAAAACCAACACTGCTTTACATCAGACTTGGGTGGTTACTACTTCCATGTACTCAGGCAGAACTGTACCTATGATAATACCTGTACTTTGCTGTTTTATACCAAAAAGAGAAGAACATATTATGAGTATAACAATCACTAACAGATTTATTAAATCAAGCACAGAGCTGTGCAATCTCCATAGACAAACACTAGCAGTAGAATGGGTCATACTGAAGAGACTTTAAACGTGACACTGTCATATTATGAAAAATGAGCATCTGAGAGCAACAACAGCTCAGCTGTAGACCAAGCAACCTCAGCTGTGGTGCGTAGCGTGTAATTATCACCTATCTTTTATGGCATCACTCACTACAGAGTTCCAAACTGCCTCTGGAAGCAACATCAGCACAAGAACTGTGTGTTGGGAACTAAACGATAAGGGTTTTCATGTCCAAGCAGCTGCACACAAGCCTAAGATCACTATGAGCAACGGCAAGTGTAGGCTGGAGGGGTGTAAATCACACCGCACTGGACTCTGGAACAGTGGAAACTTCTGGGGAGTGATGAATCACACTTCACTGGCATCTGGCACTCAGATGGATGATTCTGGATAACAGTAAAATCCTACCTGCTGAAATCAATAGGGCCAACAGTAAAGTTTGGTGGAGGAGGGATAGTGGTCCAGGGCTGTTTTTCAGGGTTTGAGCCCCTTCGTTCCAGTGAAGTGTGACGTTAATGCTACAGCATACACAGACGTTTTAAACAATTATGTGCTTCCAACTTTGTGGCAACTTTTCCTATCCCAGCATGACTGTGCCCCTGGGCACAAAACAAGGTCCATAAAGACAAGGTTTGACAAGTTTGGTGTGGAGGAACTCCAGTGGCCTGCACAGAGCCCTGACCTCAACTACAGTGAACACCTTTGGAACAAACTTCTACGTTAATTGTGAGCCAGGCCACCTGCAAGTTAAGTCTTCCCACTCACATGCTTCCTTTGAGCTACATGATATCAGCTACCGCATCTCATCTCTTTGGACAGCTCAGCACACTTGGAGGAGAACACTAACAGCCAATTCTGTTACGTCAGCTCTCAGACGTGGAGTTCGCTAGCATCACACCGTGAGTATTTCACACCAAACCACTCTGAATGACTTTGCTTACATCTCAACCATTGAATTATGCAGAAATTTGGAATTCTGCTTTAACTGCAGTTCTATATTTGTGATGTGCTATAGCTCATATGAATAATTAGCAAAGATTTTGCACACATGAGCAGGTTGGCACACAAGCACACTCTCACACCCACACAGTGTTGGCAAACAGTCAAATGAAGAGCTTATCTGATTTCATGGTAAGTGAGAAATTCACATGAAAGAGCAAATATATTTGCCAAAGGGAAAAAAACACCCCTACAAAAACAACATAAGTATGTTTTTGAATTTCAGGCATTTTACCAAGAAAGCATAGCTTAAACATAGTCAGTTCCACTGATCAAGCATTTTCTCTAGAACATAATCCCTCTAATGTATCAATGTAACAGGCTTGTAACAGTAGATATTGTTGTTCATGGATTTAAACCTCATTTTCATTCTTATATGCTAGCCCAGGTGTCGGCAACCAAAATGTTAAGAAGATTCATTTGTCAAGTTTCAACAAAAATCTAACCACCTTGGGAGCCACAACATTTTATGTCCATTTTATTTAAGTAACATTTCACCATCTTGGCTGTAAACATGTCTCAACGTGTGGTAATGTCCTAGTATAGGCTAAAGAATATAATGTAAACAAAAACGGAAGAATGGAAGTCAGGTGTGAACATGCACGTTTTAGCACAGGTGTTGCAGCAGTAGGTTTCTTGGGGTGTGTCATCACATTCCTTAAATATTTAATATTCACTGCTGCTTTACGTAATGGGATATTTGTTGTGCAAGCCTTAAGAGGCTCAGAAAACGTTGGACCACTGATGAAAATGCATATTACGTTTAGGGCTGGGCATATGTGGAACGAGGATCAAAGAAAAATTGTGAGTGAAATTTGATTACAGCATATATGTACCTTTTTCCATAGAGACAGTCATGAAAATGTAGTGGTAGAAGTCTGGGCAAGTGACATAAGCAGGAAATGACCCATTGACAAAATGGAAGTGTTATCCTGTCTGCCATAATAAAATGAGGTAAAGGTTTTTTGTTACTGGGATTTATGTGAGTCAAGGAGCTCTTAAAAAAGACTAAAACTGGCTTTAAGGCTGAAACTTTAATGTGACTTTAGTTGCTTGAAACTTAAAAATTTCAGTTGAGTTGCACAGTGTTAAGTGAAGCTCGGGAAAGTCGCAACTTCAGGAAACAGGTTTCATGAAATAGCCAATCAATGTGCTGATAATGTATCATGTGATCATGTCGAACAACATTATTTCAAACACCTGATTTCGGGACAAGAAAATGAACAGATGGTTGAAAAGGAGATCTTCCTGATTAACCTTCCTCAACCATGACAACAAACGAGTTTGTCAAAGCTAACGTTTCTGTAGCTAACAGCTGTTTAAATGACTACTTGTAGTTTTTCTAAAGTTCCTCCCACCTTCAAGATACATCATCAGATGGGAGTGTCCTAGCCCTTAAACCAAAAACTTTCACTTGCAAGGCCATTTCTAGCTATAAGCGGTTTAGGCAGTCACTTAGAGCCCCCAAGCCACCAGGGGGCCCCAACGAGCATGTATTTATTTTGTTTGTTTTACATTGGTTAGTAGGTTGTGGTTCTCCTTTAAATAGTTATTTATTGTTTTATTGTCTTTACTCTTTATCCATTTTCTTTTTCTGATCAAAATGATTAAAGTATTAATTCTTTTGTAATAGGCGCCCCCAGGTAGGGTGTTGAATGTATAGAATGTAGGGCCCTCAAATGTACAGAAATGCATCTGCTCACTCTAGAGACAACTGTAACTCCACTGTAGGAGGCAACTACGCATATTCAGTTTATCATTTTGGCCCGAGTGCTGCTTTTCAGTCGTCAATATATCTAAATTTTCTCATTACGAGATTGTTGGAAGAATATTAGAAGGTTATTTAACCCATTTCTATTTTTTTATTTGTTTTTCATGGTATGTTTTTTGATATGTTTTCGCCTGTTTTAAGATGCTTGAAACAGGATAACTAACTGCCAATGCAGTAAGATAATTTTGCTAAATTACAACTTTGAAACAAGTAAAAACATCTACAAATAGGTTGAACAATCTTAGGATATTCTTACACTTACCTCACAATGAGAAAGATACAGTGTAGAAACAGAAATCGTGCATTAAAATAAGCAAAATAAATGCTTTAATCTTTAAATGTGTTCCCTGTACACTCTTAAATAAGAGGTTCTTTAAGGCTTCTTAGTAAGAAAAAAGGTTCTCAATAGAACCATGAACACTCAAAGACACCTTTGCACGATTAAAAGGTTCTTTGCATTAAGAAATCGTTCTGTGGATTGATGGAAAATGTGTGTGAATGTGCTACTAACAGTTCTACATACAACCTTTCTCTATAGCACCCAAAGGGATTCTTATATTGTTAGAAGCTTGACACCGTAACAATAGAAGAATCCTATATAGAACCATCTAGAGCACGCGTGCCATCAATCCAAAGAATGATTTTGACCTAATGCAAAGCACTGTGTAGCACATAATGAGGCCCCAGTTTTTTCAATCATCGCAAAAATAACAGTGCTGATCAAGACTGCAGACTTTGTGATGACTATATCATCAAATCACCCAAGCTTTGTTACGATTAAACACATTAATGTGATGCCAGGCCTGAAGTAACCAAGTGTACTGACACATAGGATTAAAACCACAGATTTCAGCCAATTTATCATCTCGGTAAAGTGAGAAAATGTGCTAAATGCACACAGTAGCACAAACAGATTTAACAGCAGAACTACGCCATAAAACAGTGAGTGTCTGAACAGTTATCAGACTGAGTAAAGGTTCAATTATAGGTCATAAAATGAGTTCAAAGTTAAAGTGCTCCACCCAGGGAACTGTGTACGCTAAAATTCAGAGGGATCTGAAACTGGGGCAAAGTAACCTGCGGTTGAACTCTTACTCATTTCAAGCCATCATACACGACTGCAACAAATATAGGACTGCAGTTAAAGCAGAATTCCAAATGTCTGCATAATTCACTGGTAAAGATGTAAACAATGTCAAACAGTGGTTTGATGTGAAATGCTCAGCTCTGTTCACAGTGGCGGTGATGGGAACCAGACGTCTGAAGTGTTTAATGTCTCTAAGCCCCCTTACAGAAAGTTACGTAAAATGTATGAATGAATGAATATATACATTCATTATGATGATATGGTCAGTAGTCACATTTATATGAACTTGTTGGACATTCCATTCCAACACCTTGGACATTAATTTGGAGTTATAACAGTTATAACAGCCACTCTTTTGGTAAGGCTTTCCACAAGATTTTGCAATGGGAAACCGTGCCCATGTGATCCTGTTCCTGTTGCGTATGAAACAAATATAGATTTTTTTTTTTTTGCAATAATTCAGCATGTTCGGAGGAGGAAGGGTTGCGCGTGTGAGAACACTATCATACCCGTAGTGAAGCAGTACTTGGGCCTTACACATCACTGAAGGAAACATGAATGGAGCGATGTACCAGGAGATATTCGAGGGGAATTTGATCTCAGCTGCCAAGAAACTAGAGCTGGGGGAAAGATGTCAAAAAGACAATGACCCTAAACATACAACCAAAATGTTTCTGAAAAAGGAGGTTAAGGTGCCTGCACTGCCTAGCCAACCACCTTCATTTGAAAATTTATGGAGGACTTCTAACTTGAGAGTCCATCAGTGGGATCCCTGTAACCTTGGAGAACTGAAGACCATTTGCCAAGAGCAATGGGCCAAAATCACAATGCAGCAAAAAGCTTACCACAGACTTAGCTGTAACAACAACAGCTATGCAACAAAGTACTAATGTTATTCATGTGTGGTGTCTGAATATTATCTTCCCTATTAATCTATTTTTACAAGATATCTTTGTTTCTATCAATTCATACATTTTGTTCATATTGTTCATGTCAAGTACAAAGTCAAAAGACATTAGGTGTGTAAATATAGCTAAATAAATATAGTATATATAGTAAATATAGCTGACATATGCACTGTAAGTACATTAAATAACAAAGTGTCTTGTTTCCTTTCATGGTATGTTCTCCAAATAAAGGACAAGAAGGAACAAAATACATAAGTGTAAATTTATTTGATAGAAACACAAAATTATCCTGCAAAAATACAAATTCAGTTTTAATGGAACTTGAACATGAATCGGATTTCAGCATCTTTGCTTCAAAAGCAAGAGGAACTCTGTACATACAGATTTAAAGTATCTTGTTCACAAGAGAATGATGACTTGATTCCATCAGTGTTTGATTGGAAAAGCTGAAACATTCTATTGCTACAAAAATATATAAATAAAAAAATAAATCAACATCAATTACAAAAATCACTTTGAAATAATGGTTACAAAAGATCTAATAAGGCATTTCAGCTAAATTGCAGTGCATTGCAAGATTTAGGTTTGTGAACAAAACTTGTATGGAATGCATAGATAAAGATTTCTGCATATAATAAGGTGCAGTTTGGTGCCAGAAAAACAGAAACTAAATGGTGTAGCAGGCAAATCAGTCAATGAAGTCCTTTTTCTTTTTCTTTCACTTTAGGGGACACCTATAACCATATTATATGTTCTCTTCTACAAGAAAGGTAATGTATTTTTTAGCAAATTTTAGTGAATAATTTCTACTAGTTTAACAGATTGGGAAAAAAAAATCCAAAAAACAAAATAAACAAATAAAATAAACAAAAAGTAAATAAAATGTGCCATAACTTTTGCACAGTCCATTATGTATTTATTTATGTACTTGATAATTAAACAAATTTTATTTCTTTTTTATTTATTTGTTTGCTAAATTTTATTTTTATTTATCCATTTATTTGTTTGCTTGTTTTTTTTTGTCATATTTATGAACTGCCAGACTGAAATACGGATGCATCTGTCTTTTATGCTTGAGAAAGAAAGCAATATATGAAGTCTATCAACACTATTACATACATATTGTCCTTCATACCACTGTGAGCACAGTGCATAGAACTCAATGTCCTATTCCTAAAATAACAGTTTTATATATAACAGAAGTTAGTCAATAAAGGCTTTTACAGAATAAACTGTAGAGGATAATAATTAGCAGTATGATGATTATATATTGAAAGGATGCACTCATTCAGATGAAGACACTCAAAACATATGTATGAGCTTTGTTTGTATGAAATGTACAAAAGAGCACTAGTACTTGTGCTCAGCTTCATGTGCAAGAATAATGTGTGTCATAATGTATCTCCTGGTGTTGAGCCTAACCTCCCTTTAACATGCATGCATGTTCCACAGGCATAAAGATGCTTTAGATTTGTAAAAGTTGGTCAAATTACATGTTTTGTTGATTTTCTACGTGAAAATAAATGAACACAAGTTAACAAGTTTGACAATATTGGGAACAGAAAAATACTGCGCCACAGCTTTCACACAGGCCATAATCTCTCCTTAAAGATTCAATAAAAATCAAATGTATGCATCTTTTTTGCTTAACTCAGATATAGTTGATCAGCCAAGGATGTATGGTGTCCAAACTTTGCTTCTTTAGTTTTAAACTGGAGCTACGATGCTAATGTAGCTAACCAACACAATCTTTTTTATTGTCTCCTGCAGCATTCATGACAACTGGAAGCTCCATGTTGGAACATCCCACTTCCAGTCTAAAAGCTTTCATCAGCTGTTGGAGATCAGGGAAAAAAATGGATGCTCATGTGAAACTAGCACTTGTTTGGCTGCTGTGTGCATGTTAAAAAGCTAAAAGTTAAATAGCCATTTGGTTAGTGCTTTATTTATTTTAAAAGTGGATGTAGATCTAGCACAAAGGGATTAACCTAGCAATCATCCCAGTTTTCCCGTGTTTAGTGACAATATACACAAATAGTGAATCATACAGAAAAGCAAACTTTAAAAGTCGCCATGTTGAAATCATGGCAAAAGCAAAAGTCAGAGCTCGTGAAAAACTCTGACTTTTCGAGTGGGAATTATGAGTTTGAGGGACATTTTAATGTTCCTACTCAGAAGTCAGAAACTGGTCATGAATGTAGCATAAAATGGCTGCCCCCAGTGTTCAGCTACATGGTGAATTTATGTTCATTTTTATAGCTCACAGCAAGTCATACTGTTCCTGAACCACACTGACAAGTCTGGACCACCTTAATGAACACTTGGATGCGGATTGAGAGAAGTTTTGAGGATGTATTTACAGAAAACATTTGGTTGTCTACGCACTACTGGTGTTGTTAGCAAGGTGAGCCTCGTAGCTCCAGTGCTAAACTAAGGAATTCAGACTTTAATTTTAGACACTAAACATGTCTTGGCTCATTGCTTTTGCCTGGAGAAAACTGTAAATTTGACCTTCTGCCAAACTATTCCCTTAAAAGAAACGGATGTACGCAATTTTCTCTTACCCAAAATGTAGCGAAGCCATGTTTGGTGTCTAAAGTTTGCTTCTTCAGTTGTGCACTGAAAGATGATGGAACTTAACAATTAGCATGTTGCAAATTGTATAACCGAATCACCACAGCTGCTTCAAATTGTGTCAAAAGTACAGACAAAACTCAAGCTTCAAGATGGCTGCTACGGCTTTTAGCTATTCTACATTCTTGTGTCAATTTTTAGATAACAGACCATTTCAGAAACTACATAAGCAAGACTATTGGAGATGAATAAATAGATGTAGGCATGCAGTTAGCATGATGCTACTGTGGTAGAAGCCTAAATTGCTTGTTAGTAACATTAGCCTCACAAGAACCAAACATGTCTTGGCTGATCGACTATATTAGCAGCAGTCATTTGCTGGATGTCATAGAGTGCACTGCCTTCTCCATTTGGTTTGAACTGTGGTTCATAAATTGCTGAATTAGAATGTAATTACTGCAGTATTGTGTACTTTAGCATCCCTGGTATAAACACACCTTGTCACTTCATAAAAGTTTCAGCACTCTTAGTAAAGCCAATGGAATGTGGACCCATAGATATGTATTACCGGCTGTTTCTGGTTTGTGCGCTGCAATTAGTTCTCTGGGCAGCGTAGCTAAATATTATGTGTACTGGTACCCTGCTATTCCTTGTTCCATCAGTGTAATCAATGGAATAGTTTTCCAATAAGCTCAGATTTTTTGGTGGATCAGTTACATTATATCATTTTAAAAGTTTTTTTGTTGTATTATTAGGATTATTTATTATAACAGCATGTAAACTTCATTAAGTGCTCCTTTCCTTCATCTACATTACATTTATTCCTAAGTATGTTCCCCTATATGTAAACTAAACAGAGTTTATTTGTTCTATATCTTTACTATATCTTTATCATACCTTTCAGAACAGGCCTAAGTCCTGTGTACAGTTTGTTCTACAGTTGATACCACATTCTCTGTGGTGGAAGAAGTGTAGGAAGCCTTGTTGAGTTGCCTGCCTCTCAAGCCCCCATTTCCAAACCAGTGTGGGAAGAGTGTACTAAAAATAAACTTCCATTTCTAAACTATATTATGCAACTAATAGAACTTCTTTTATTTGAGATGTTGAAAAACCTGCAAGTTTGAAAACTGCATGTTAGAAAACTGTAAATTCTAAAAGGTCTTGAGGCCCAGATGAATCACGACAACCCACATTTTTAAATCTTTAGCTGTATGTCAACAACATTCACCATCTAAAATAATCTTCCTCCTTTCTGTTTTGTGAAGTCATGTACTTTATTAAATGTCTGATTATTTGTTTTTGAGCTTTTTCCGCACCAGGTATATTACAGATATATACATTTATTTGTGCTCCCAATCAAAGGAATAGTTTGACCAAAAATCGTACTCCAATTGTGGCTGATAAATAACATCAAGTTCTGAATTCATACTGGATCTGTAGTTTTGTAAAACAGAGCTACAAAGCTAATGTAGGTAACCATAACAGTAACTCAGTATCAAAAACTGTTCAGTAATTACCACCCAGGACTGTCCATATTGCCATCTCCACTGAATAAGACTTACTTTTGGTCATATTTCATGCCAAAGTGTCAATCTTCAAATATTATCTTCCAGTAATGTGAAAAAAACCAATACTGTGAGCTATTCTCACTCTGTAGAAGTGAAACTTTCACATCAAACCACTCTGAATGATTTTCTTCCATGTTTACAACTGAATTATACAGAGATTTTTCAAAATCTGTTGAATAAAGGTCATATTGTAATATATAATATTATAACTGTGCTCAATACAGATATCCAACTGTGTCACAACCATAGCACTGCAGTTCTAGGTGTGGAATAAGTGCAAACATTGAGACTTCAGATTAATTCAATGTTAGCTTGTTACTCATTAAAGAGGATTAACAGATAAGTGTATAAACATTAGCTTTGTATTACAAGTTCAAATCTGCAGATCCAAAGTATGAACTGAATTCTGTTTTGCATTAACGGGTATTATTTCAACATCTGTTGCATCATGCTTCCATGAAGATCCCCTAATCCACACTCCCACCACTGTAGAGTAACTTCTGTCTTATGGTTTCAACAGTTATTTCTTAACAGCTCTCTTAATCCAGGTATCCATCAACCAGCCTTCCTCAGTGCACTCCTCCCTAACAGGAGCTGGTCTGTAGATTGCTCTCTGTGAGGATGGAGGTGATGCTCGAAGGGTCGTACAGGCCATCATCATCATCGTCATCTGAGCTGAGAGCTGAAGAGTCCATAGAAATGTGTCGGGCCTGCTGGATCTTCCTCCTGAGAAGAATGAAATATGAAAGAAAGGCATATTACTATGAGGTCAAACTGCAGTGCCAACTGTACACAGTAATCAAAGATGGTCCTTCAAAACTCCACCAATTAACCATTCTGTTACCAGTTCATCACTTACACAATGTAAGACAAAAATACAATTACAAGGATGCTCATTCATAATCAGTGAGCATCCCTGAAAGAAGATCAAGTTTACACAAATTTAACCATCTTATACCAAATGTGGACAATCAGCCAGGACATGTTTGGTGTTTGAAAGGCTCTGAACTGCAAGGTTAATGTAGCTAACAAGTAACAGAATTAGTCAATTAGCAACATTCAAACTGCATGACTAAATCATCACTTGCTCAGACTATGTTGAATAATCTCAACATCTCAAAACAGACTTGCTTATTTGGTTACAGACACTGTATGACACACTGTTGTGGCAGCTAATACTATTATTAACTTTGATGTACTTTTGTCCATTTTTCAGATTACAGTATATTATACAGTGCAGGTCAGGAATTTGGGAGTTATACAGAGGTGCAGTGCACCACAAATCATCATGCCCCATTAAATCCAGTACTTTTTATACATGTTTCTAAAGTGGTAGATAGAAAAAAAAAAACTTAGTTAAACTAAACTTCATGCGGATTGCCACTGCTTGTTGCATGCGTCCTGTATATGGATCATTCTTCCCAATGTTTTCAGACTTTTAAATGACTTGAACTTCAGACTAAAATCCCTTCGATTTGAGTGACGCTGCACCTCGAACTGAACTGAATTAAACAGAACTGAAATCAAATGAACTGAATTAAACTGAATTTATGTTAATTTTTTAAAACAAATGACTCAACATACCACTGTGTCACTACCAAAACAATCATAACATTAAGTTTCAGTACTGACTGTTTCGGCAGTAATACATTTAGCTGATTTTGAGCAAACCTCAAAAATACTAGCCAGTACATGACTGGCAAACGCATAAAAACATAATAGTTTTCATTAAAACACAAAAATTATATTTGTTAGCCAGTAGCAAACAAAGCTTTGAACTGCTGAACACACATTAAAATCACAATATGTTTTATTAAACCACAAAACAATTTAATTTATTTGCCAAAAAATGTGTTTTGGAGATGACCATTCTTAGTGTTCCACACTGATATTCAGCCTTTGGGACACATTTACTTCAAAGCAATAAGATCTAACTGCTCACCATGTGACAATGAGGGACAGGGGTGCAGGCTCACTTCCTGCTCTAAAATAAGGCTCCGCCCACAGACTAAAACTCTAAAACTCGGTAGTGACTTGAAAATGTGGGATTTTTTTTTTTTATTATTTAAAAATTAAATCCACAATGGATCTGAATCTTTTAACTTCACTTCAACAGGAATCCAAGAAATCTTTTTTTAAAAAAAGAGAAAAATACAAACAAAATGTAAGCATTATTTTGACAAGTTGAAATTTAGGGGTTTGGGACAGCCACCTCCCAATAGAAAATGCCCTATAAATGATGATTTTGTATATATGTAGCTTATTACTATCCCTATTAATGTTTAAATAAATCATAACATAATCCTTGTAAATATCTAAGGTCTAAATAATTGTTGTTTTCATTTCTGTTTAGTAGAATGGTCCATATAAGGCTAAATTTGCATCACTTTGTACATCACTTTGAGGGTTTGCATTACTTTATAAACTCTAATATATAGACCTTTGGTGATTTCTTGTACATTTGTTGGCTGCTTTGTTAATTCTCTCCTGAATGTGTGGCTCCTTTGAATAGATTCCTTTATTTTTCTTATCTTTTTTCTTAGTCTTTGCTGATCATTTAAATTTGGCATAGGGGGAAAATTGTGTGGAACTGATTTCTGGTCAAACTGCCGCATTAAAACTTTAAGACAGTGAAGTATATGAGATAGAATGTCTGTCTTATCTCCAATACTGAATACCAGCTCAGAAAGAGTGAGTGGTGAAAAAAAAAAAAAAAAACAGTGAGGACAGTATAAACTTGAGGTGTGCTATATGCTGGGTTAAGCAGCATATGTCAGTCTAATCTGGGTGTAAGAGGCATTATACCGGTGTATTTGTGCTGCTTGAGAAGGAAAAGACCTTAAGAGCTTAGGGCTGATTGCTGCCTGGACAGTGCATTTTCAAGGGACACACTGCCATCTACAGGTCTGAAAGGGTACTACAGGCAGACTAGAACAAAGTGTAAACAACTTTCTTCAGTTAGTTGCATATGAAACCAACAAACCTTTGTGAAACAGTTTCTTACTTGAGTTCGTTCTCCAGTGCTGTAACTCGAGACTGGAGAGCCTCTTTCTGCTCCATTTGTTCCTCCATGTCTCTAATTGCTTTCCTCCGCAAGCCATCCAACCGCTCCACCTCTCCTTCGCCCTCATCCACTTGCCTCTTCAAAGCCTTCACACGTAGAGCCAGCTACAGAGACAAGACTCATCAGATTTGCAATAGAAGGGGCAATGGAAATATGGAATAATGTGTACTGTGACCGTGTAGCAAGAATGCCCTTCTAGAGACATCTCTGAGTACATTTCGGTAGTGGATAGTCTCAAAATTCACCTATATCAAGGCCACGCCCACAGGTTTTCCCAATAAAACATCCACCCTCAAATTTCTCCAGTCAATGGTGCAAATTCAAGGTGGGGGCGGAGGTGGAATTGTGCAAGAGAATTCTGGGGGTTGCAAAATGGCTGTCAAAACAGTACAAAGCTGAGTTGCAAAAAAGTTGTCTGATATTGATTATTATGTGCTAGATTCTGTATTTTTGGGCTCATTCAGACTTTTCAGTGTGCTGCATTTAGACATATTTTAGACTGGTCTCAGGAAGTCTGATGCACTGTAATTCTAATAGCTTCATCAACCATTTGGAGGTCTACCATTTGTCTTTCACAGCTCCTTAAATCCAGACTCATTGTACTCTACAGCATCAGAGTCAGACTGTTCTCTCTGGTGGCCATCTATATTTGCATATAAACCACATCTAACAGCTTGGCTACGCAGTTGACAATTTCAAATTAAAACTCTAATTAAACCCAAAACATATAGTTTTTTAGTTATAGTCAGTAATGATGAGAAGCAAGAAGCACTAACACTTATAGAACAGATATAAACAATCCTTCTTTTTTTATTTTAAATAACTATCACTATTGGGGATTTTGCTAAAATATTTATAGCAACATGCAGGTAGGAAAAAAGTTACTGTAAACAATAGCTATACTGAATAAGTAGGTATTATTCATCCTGTTGTTAATAATAATAATAATAATAATAATAATAATAATGTGCTTTTAATATTGACATATAAAGCATGCAATATCAATTTATTTGTGTAATTGCAGGCATACTTTCTTTACACAGTTTTACATTTGAATTGCTGTATTTAGGCTTTAGCCTCCTGAGGCTCTCCAGTCTCACTGGGGTGAGACAAGACCGCAACAATACTGAACCAAAACTAGCACAAAATGTGCAGTCTGAGGATAAACAGGACATTTATCCTCCATCCCATCCTCAAAATAATACAAAAACCTATTAAGCCAGTATTAGTTTTTGGACAGACTGTCTTTTCATTTTCTGTTCTGGTTTGGATACTGCCCCCTAGTGGACACATTCATGTTACATGCAAGTATGTTGGAAAACACCCATGTGAACGCCTGCATACGACACCCGCTTGTGTTCCGTTGTTTTCAAAAGGCACCAAAATATACACATGGGCGTTTTGTAGAGATACAAATGCTCCGTTACTCTCTCCATTAAGAAAAGAAAAAAATTTAAAATAGAGACGTTTTACATGACAAACAAAGCAATACTAATAAACCTTACATGCTTGTTTATTACTGGTTTTCTAATTTAAATTTAATCAGGTTGTTGATGTTTGCCCGCTGGTTGCTGATGTTTGGCACTGCAGGAAGAGTCAGACATTAAAACAGGCAGATTATGCAGACATGCTTCTAGAAGATGCTGATTTTATTCGTAAACCATCATAGAAATGCATTTGCTCAGAAGTGAACTGAATCAGGGTTCACTTAAAAGCAGCCCATTTTTTGCTAATTTTGCCAGACCACTGTTCAGTTGTTTGATGCGAGCCCGAGAATGAGTGCTCACACCTGTCAAAAACTGAACTACGTGTGATAGGTCTGCACCAATGTCCACATTCCATCATGGCTGTCTCTAGATGTGTACTCTTCTTACAAGATCATGCCCAGCCCTGAGCCGCTAATGTGTGTCAGAAGACAGTGTTGAGTGATATGTGACGTATGTGCTGTACCTGGTCTCTCTGCTCAGTGTGTTGCTGTCTCTCTTCATCCAGAGTGATGGTCAGCTCTTTCAGTTTTCTCTCCACACGACGCTGAGAGGACAGCGCAGAGTTTTTCTCTCTATAATACACACAGAAGCATGCAGTTAACCCTTAAATGGGCCGTATTCAAAATTTCCTTGAATTTCACTTTCCCCTGTTGTTCAATGATGATGTTTCTGTGACTTTATGGTTTTATGGATTGCAAATTAGGTCTTTGTTCTCATTTTTTTAAATTAAAGCTACATGTAAGATTTGGAGACTTCTCTGGTGGAAATGTGTAATTGCATGCAACGTGAGGAAGAATATTCGGTAACGTGGGGGTTGCTTCGGACCCCTTCCCCGAGCGCATGTGTCTGATGATTGTGAGAGTGTTGAAAGAGCATTCAAAGAGAACTCAGCCGAAACTCGGTGAAGGATGTGTCTCCTGAAGATGTGAGTGAATGATCTACTATTGTCATTACATCTTCATCAGCATAATGTTGATTTTGCACTTGAAACCCAAACATTTAGGAACTGTTGAAGCTAGTATGTAAAGATGTATGACATGGTCCAAAAAACTCTCAGGAAATTGACCTGGGTTAAGGTTAGGTTAATCTTACAAATACAAAGTATGTCCTATAACTATCCCATATCCAATAAATGTGTTTTGCCATATTTCTCTCCTTTCAATGTAAACTGGGCAGTCCTAATCTTGGGGTAAGACTGCATAAGCTTCACTCTCACCAGACAGGCAGATGTGGCTTGTCCCATGTACACTGTTTAAACAACTTAAGCAAAAGTTAACAACCAGCCGAAAACTAACCACCAAGCGAAAGCTATCCCAGCCAACATAACTTGGTTCTCTGCCTGTCTGTTTCTTTGCCCAGTGTCTTCCTATTAGTATGTTTCCTTGTGTGTTCGATCCATCCTGCCTGCTATGCCAGCATCCTGGGATTTACATCCAGCAGTAAATCACCATTCACAGTGGTGTCTACACTACCACCTTCATATTCAGAACCCATTTCACTTCACTGGGGGCTGTCAATCACATGTACTCAGTAAAATATTAGGACTATGCCCAGTTGTTTCTAGGATAGGTCTGATCAGTGACTTCACCTGATTTATGTTTTATCACATTCCTGTTTTTTCATTCAAATTGTTGCTGAATGTTTAATATAGCACTCAATTTTTGTATCATGCAATCATTATGAATATTTTACATGTGAAGCTTTCTAAGAAAATGACACTAGTTTTACATAGTTATGTTGCAGGTTGTGTGCCAGCAGACGGACCTGTGAATATAAGGTATATTGCAGCATGTTGTTAGTAGTTTCTCTTTACCTCTCCTCAGCTCTCAGCCGTTCCTCCATCTCCTGCAGTCTGCTCTCCAGCTGAGAAACACCAGCTGAACTACGAGACTGCCCCTCCATCTCTGCTACACGAGACTTATACTCCTTCAGCTACACAAGGTTAAAAATAAAGGAAGAAGAAAGGTAGAAAGAAACAGATTCAACTGCTGAGGCAATAAAATTAGCTACATTAGCCTCACGACTCCAGTGCAAAACTAAAAAAGCAAACATTAGCTGTCAGACTACATTCAGGATGAAAGGCTTTCTGGCCTTTAAACTCAAGGATAGTGAGTCCATGTGATTGCAGGCAAAAAAAAAATCTTTTTAGTGTACCTGTCTCTCGAGAGCATTTTTGTCCAGCTCTAGGTCTTGCTTGGAAGATCTTTCTTGCATTAGCTCGGACCGCAGCTGCTCAATCTACAGACACACACACACACGCAAATGTAAACCATAAAGATTCCTGCAGTTTTTTACATATAAGACTATTAGAATACATACAAATTATACAAAATGTACGAAATCTGACCATCACACCACCCACACTGATGCCAATGTCCTAAATGTCTTTGTATGCTGTAGCATTAACATTATTCCTCACTAAAAACCAGCCCGAGACCATTATCCCTCCTCCACCAACCTTCACTGTTTGCACTGTGCATTCCGGTATGTAGTATTCTCTTGGCATCCGCAAAACCCAGATACATCCTTCAGACTGCCAGATAGTGAAGCTTGAAAGATTATATACAGGGCTATTGAATATTTTAATGTTTGAATATTTTACAGAGTACTGAATTGAATATTCCAAAATTCTACAAAAATAAGGCTCAAAAATGATTATTAGAGGAGCCTGTGAGCTGGTCAGCTGGCTATAGTGAGGGCATAAAACAATCCATTTAGCACACAAATAGCCTGTTCGAACAAGAATAAAAAACAGTTTTTGGGTTCGATTTTTAACAGCTGTATTACACTGTCTTATAAAGACCATGTCCATCAGAGATGTGAAATACCAGAAGCAACAGTAAAAGTACACTAGATAAGCTTTTTATCCCTTCTGCACTATATGGCAGTGGGAATCATGCTTAATATGACCAGAGACGAGGTTAAAAGGTCATGAACTTATAGGTTAAAAGGTCTATTTATGCACCAACCAACTAAGTTGCAAGCAAGCACAGTCTACACTGGTTTTAGTGGTGCATGTTCATGAGAATTTTCAAATGTCAGTACTTCTAAGTGTATTTTTGAGGAAAGTAATGTATTGTTATTTAGTTCCTAATTACATTCTCTGGGTTTAACTTTATTCTGTGTCAATGCTGGAACTGCTTTACTGTTGCTCACACCTCTCACTTTGGAGCTTTAGTGTTCTATTTTGGACCAAAATGATTAAAAATGTGCAGTCATGTGAACTGGAATGCAGGTTGAGACCTCTTGTTTACGGTAGTTGAAGTCCAACCAGTAATAACAGCAGAAGAACAAATTCAGATGTTCAGGGTCTCACGATTCACAAAATGCCTAAAAGCTAAACCTAAAAGTTCAGTTTGGGGCTGTAATGCCATATTTAAAGCCTGCAACGATTTAAGAGTTTACAGTTTGCCTCTCTGGATGCGGAGAAACCATATGTGCATTACTGCTGGCATGAGTTTCATCAATGCTCAAAAGGTTAAAATGACAATTTGTTACATTTGAGATTAATACTTTTTAGAACCATTTCATGTCACTTTCATCTGAGTGCTAAAAAAATAATATATGTAACAACACCTAACAGCTTTTATAGCATCAGCGCTAAATGCCAGAAAAGGTTTACATACAGCCCAGCATGCTGATAAATGCTGGATGTACGAAGAGGTTTCATCACAGTTCTACAGGAAACGCAAACTGACAAGTGACACTGGCCTCTGGAATGTTTACCTGATCTCGGCTCCTGGTTATTCTGTCTGTCAGCAGCTCAACGCTGTTCTTCTCCTCATCCAGCTCAAGCTCTAGGTGCTTCACCTTATCCTGCATGCGCAAACATATATGAATGGAATGTCGATGCATATGTTTCACAGCTGCTAAGAGAAATGAAAGCATTTGACCAGCAAATGCCTTTGAGTGTTGGGACGTGCCTCCATGCTGCGGATTTCACGGGAACGATCGTTGTAGGTGCTCCGCTGGCTCTCCAGCTCGCCTTCCAGGTGTCTGAGACGGTTAGTGAGCAGCTCTTTATCCAGAACAGCATTATCCCTCTCCTCACAGCACGACAGCAGCTCTTTCTTCTGCCGAGACAGCTGAGAACACATTCCAGAAAAGCTCAAACCAAGCTGCAAGTATTCAGATCTATCTACAAAGTATAACCAGACTTAAGGCTGGTTTTACAGGGTGAAACTTTCATGCAACTTTAGTTTCTTGAAACCTAGAATCCTGCAACTCACTTGAAACTCAGATGCAACAGCTGCAAGCATCTCAAACAGCCAATCAAAAAGCCAATAACACATCACATGATCATGTCAAGCGACATACCTTCAAACATTTTTCAATGGACAAGAAAATAAAACAGAAGACTTTACACAAGATTGGCAGCTGTCAATTTTTATCAGTTTTCTGAGCCATGACAACGAACGCGAGTTCCTCGAAGCTTATGTTTCTGTAACTAGTTGGGTTAACTAGCCTGCTAATGCTAACAGCTGTTTAAATAGGTGCTTGTGGCAGAGTGTATTCTACTTAAACCTGCTGTCATTGTGATTTATGTAGCTAGATTAATTTTCTCTTCTAAACACCCCCCGAACTGTACACAGAGCACAGACTAATTTGGGCTTAACTTAAGCAAAAACTTAATATCAGTAAAACATAGTCATGAAATCATGAACAATAATTATAAACACAACGGCCGTCCACAACCCCTATAAATATAATAAGTAAGAAACTGTTTCTAATTCGCTTTTGAGTGGCATTTTTTATTCATTTTCTACCACAAGCATAAAATTAATTTCCACTAGCCTGTGAATAAAAAATTCTTCTTTTCTGCAGTATTAGCATAAAGCTAACAATTACGTCCGTTTGTTTTTTAGCATGCTCTACCTTAAACATGGGTTATTAAAGCTTCTAACAGACATTTAAGTAACATTTTCTTACTTTATTTGATGGAGTTTTATGTTCATTATAGAATTTTTTCAAATATGGAAGTCGAATGATTGTTGTGCATAGTGACAGTGCCCCAATATTTAACTCTCTCTGTGCCAAATTATGTTCCAGCAAACAGTGATAATCTTGCTCTATTCTAATTATAAAGGCAGCCATAAATTCAAAATGTTAATAACTTTTATAATTAGTGTTTACTAGCTTTTTCTGATGTCCATTGCAATGCACTCTGGTTTTGAAGAACAACAACATTCTAGTGTTAATATATTTGTATTATTTATATTTTTAATATGACAATTTAAAGAGTTATTGCAAGAAAATCTGAACGCAATCTGAAAGCATTTCAAGAAAGCAATTATGTCAGAAACATTGCATATTTAGTTATAGAGCTTTTGATACACATGCTCTCACTAATACTGACATTTCTCATTTTTGGGAATCCACAATATGGCAGTACACAAATTCTAAAGAAAATATCATGCACACAAAGCAATTACATATTTTGGTCAGCTTTTCACTTCACAATCGCAGACAATATTTGTGGGGATGGTTCAGGAAACAGTCTGGAGCCCTGCAACTCAACATGCAAATAGATGCATGAAGGTTTTGCTGTTTAAGCCAGACTTATGCTTTATGTATGCTTAGGCCTAGACTCCAATGAACCTTTTTAATCTGCAGGTAATTAAATATGAAGTTATTAATAGTAATTATTAAGTTAGCCCTGTAAAACCTAATAAAAAACTTTTATTTTTACAGTTATAATATTTATTGGACCTTTTTAGCCATTTTTGAATTAATAGTACTGAACCATCACACTATTTGTTGGACCTATTATTATTATTATTATTATTATTATTATCATTATTTTTGGACAAAACATTTTTATAAATATGTCACGTGCGATTGAGAAGGCTTCTATGTTTCATGCTGATTCCAATAAAACATTTTGTCCAACATTCATTGTATCAATTAAAAATTAAAAGTGCAATTCCACCGATCATTTTTTTTTGCATATTTCATGGAGTAAGGAGTGTCCTAAGGGTTACAATGAGGTCTTATTAGATAATGAAGTAGGGGGGGTCCACACATTATCTATTTACTAACACATATAGAATTGTAAGAGAAATAATACAGATAATTAATATTCACACTAAAAATATTAACATTCCATTAACCTTAATATAAATTACTTAATATTAACACATTAACAACATTAAGTTAATAATAAATGTTTTTACTAGCGTTACATGAACGTCATTAAAACAAATTACTTAATGTTATTCAATAATAAATGGTAACTAACATTGGTAACTTTAATATTAAACAAAATTATAAAATAAGCTAAAGTTGAAAAGAATTAATAATTAAATTCAGACATCAAAAAAGAACAAACTAATATGTAGGTTATACACTTTCTCTTTAGGTTGAATTGAATTTTTGGTTGAATATTCTGTAAAGCTTGTCCAATCTACCAACAGTTAACCCATAACAATCGCATTTGTGGGCGGAGCCTGGATAGGCCGATCTACGATCTACCCCCACTCACCTCCTCCTGGAGAGAACGAAGGGTGACGTGGACTTTCTCCAGCTCACTGATTTTCTCTTTGTTGCTTTTCTGTAAGTCATGCTGCTCTTTCCTCCACTTCTCTTTCTGCTCGTCCAGCTGAGAGTGCAGCAGCTGCACAGACTGACTCGAATCAGCCGACAACCGCTCGATCTGAGAGAGAGAGAGAGAGAGAGAGAGAGAGAGAGAGAGAGAGAGAGAGAGACATTGCAGTTCTAAAAGTGCAGTCTATGTTTTCAAAAATAAAAAAAACAATCAGGCTGTAGGTAAATGACTGTGAGTATTGTACATCTTCACAGCTTTCACATAATTAATAAGAAGCTACGAAGAATGAAAGTATAAGATTAATATCAGAATGAATGTCTAATAAAATATTACCCATAAAGAGGTTCAAATAAAATTACTATCAGAATGAAGCCATATTAAACTAATATACAGAGTGAAGTTCTAATAAAGTCCAAATCCAGAATGAACTTCTATTAAAACTAATATTGAGAATGAAATTATATTAATATAATTACTTAAACAATATTCTACAAATGTTGATTTGTGTGATCAGAAAAATTGAATGATGAAAATGAAGTTCTAATACATTTTAAAACCCAGAATGATGTTATAATGACTGCAACATCCAGAATGAAGTTCTAATAAAATCAATATCAGAATGCAGACATTCTAATAATGTTAACAACCAGTATTAAGTTTGAATAAAATTCATATTGAGAATGAAGTTAAAATAGAATTATTCAAATAGAATTAATAATTATTAATGCAAATTAAGATATAAAAATATTAATATAAATAAAAAATGACCTAAACAGATCATTGCAGTATATTATTCATCATTATTATATGTTAACTTAACATTTCAAATTTAAATACAATTTGAATATTAATATAAATTGTATGCTATTATTCTATATAAAAAACTAAAATTATGATAACTGATTCCAAACTCAAGCGATAACGTGTGCACACCTCTTTGTTGAGTTTGTCGACTGTTCTCTCGTGTTGCCTCTTCTGTTCATCCAGCTGCGAGTTTTCCTTGCGGAGCGTCTCCCTCTCTTTGTCTCTCTCGTCCAGGACACGGGTCAGCTCATCTCTTTCCTGGCCGAGTTTGCTGTTAAGGCGTTTGGCCTCGTCCAGCTGCTGCCTCAGCCTCCTGCTCTCCTCCTGCAGCTCTTGCTCAGCCTCCAGACTCTGACTCACCCGCTCCTGCAGCTGCGACTACAGATGGACAGATGAGTTGAACACCTGTTACTGGCTGCGTTCCAAGTGCGTTATGGACTGACCGATGTACTGTTTGATAGCTGATATTCTGCTGATATTAAGATTGCTTGGATTTACTGGTTCCCACAAAAAGCCCAAAATTAAGCTACATAGGTTGCTCCTGCTGGACAAGTGAGTAACATTAACCCATTTTTGCTGGTTCACAGAATCAATGGGTCAATATCATTTTGTCCTGTTTGCTTATGTTTGTGATAGCAGCTGCTTAGCTTCACAGCAGCAACTTAAGTGGCAGTTTGCTAACCCACATTCTAGCTAACGTTAGTTACATTACTTGCTGTGTCGTTGTTCACTGTAGCGTTATATCATCGTATTTGTCTATAACATTTGTGAAGGGTTTTATAGCCACAAAGATCTAAAAAAGCACTTGGTCTCGACAATGTGGGTCCATGAATTGTGACTGTTTTCTGTAAATTCTGCAAATTTTGATGCACAATTTTTATTTATTTGCCGAGTTTTAAATATTGGAATAAAGTAAAACATAAAATACAAAAATGTTGCAGAACTTTTGCCCTACCACATTCTCCCACCACCACCCCCAACCCCCCGGCAATGTTTATTTTTTGGACAAATTCTGGGAAAAAAAAAGTTTCAGCACTAACACTAACATTTTTGTCAATTTTGTGAATCATTTTTCAATTTTCGACATAATCTGAACGTGCTTGTTGCCCTTTACACTGTGTGTAAATTTCATGATGAATGGACCAAAGGAAATAGCCCAGAATTATTTGGAAAAAAGTCTGGTTCCACTGACTTACATTAAAAGTAAAGTATGTTTTTTCCTTCTCCTGTAAAGTTATAATTTTGGAACGAGGTTTCGTTCTGACAGCAGCGATATTTACTTATTCGGTACAGCTGCAGTCCCTCACCTCCAGACGCGTTATTTTCTCCTTCAGGCGTGTGTTGTTCTCCTCCACCTCCTTGTGCTCTTGTGTGAGAGTGTGTATGTGTGTTTGCGAGGAGTTCACTCTGTCTCTCTCGTTCTGCAGCTCCTCCTCCACCGACAGCAGCTGATTACGGAGCTTCTCTGCTTCCCCACGCACAGCATTCAGTTCCCCACGCAAAGACTCCACCAGTGCAGGATCAGCCAGCTACCACCGGGGGGCAACAGAGTACAAAGAGATGTTAATGAAGCTGTGTTTATAATTCTACTTTGACCTGTACTTAAATGAAAGCAGCGCAAACACCAGATATTTAATGTTTTATCTTATCAGCTTTATCATTTTTTGTAAATGTATGCTCATTCTGAAACTGATGCCTGTTACACATTTCAAAAAAGTTGGAATAGGGACAGTTAAGACTAGGAATATGGTGAAATGCTCAAAAAACATCATAAACAGGTGATGAAATCATGCTGGGTATAAAGGGTGCATGCAGTAGAGGCCTAGTCCTTTATGAGTGAGGATGGCTTAAGGCTCGCCACTTTGCCAAAAAAGCATCAGCAAAAAATCCAACAGTTTAAGAATAACGTTCTTCAGTAAGGGACTGCAAAGATTTTAAGTATTTTATACTGTACAGCGCATAACATCATCAGAAGAAACATCAGTAAATCTGGAAAAATAAAGAGCAAAGCCAAAAAAAACACAACTGAACACCCATGACCTTCAACCCCTCAGATGATGCTGCATTAAAAATGGGCATGTTTCTGTGAGGGACATCACTGCATGGGTTCGCTGCTGCATTCACAAATGCTAATTTAGACTGTACTATGTACAGTGGAAGTCACATGTCAACAGCATCCAGAAACGCTGCTGACTTCTCTGGGCTCAAGCTCTTCTAAAATGGACTAATGCGCAGTGGAAATGTGTTTTGTGGTCTAAGGAGTGAACCAGTCTGGTTGGTTATGGAAATAATGGACATTGTTCTCCAGGCCAAAGAAGAAAAGGATCATCCAGATTGTTATCAGCATAAAGTTCAAAAGTCATGGTATGGAGGAGGGGTATTAGTGGGTAACCTGCGCATCTGTGAAAGCACAATTAACACTGAACTTATTTTGAGCAACATATTCTGCATTCTATATGTCGTCTTTTTCAGGGACACCCATGATTATTCCAACATGACAACAGCAAATACAACAACAAAGGCCCCATACACAGCTGAAGACTTGTATATAATTTAAGAATGGCAAAAAAAGTGGTAAACATGCTTCTGCACCAACTTTTTTGGAACATGCTGCAGGCATTATATTTGGAAGGAGCATATATATACAAAAAAAATGAAGTTCACAAGATAAAACATAAAATATTATTTATTATTTATATACAGTTTCTACTTATATGCTGAATTTAACAAACTGAGATATGTAAGTGCACTCCCATGTCACTGTGAGATGTACTGCAATTAGAAAGCATAGTGGCAATGTTAATAGCCTTGTATGCTGGAGAAAAATTGGGCAGTAAAGCCAGTATTTTTGAAAGCTTTGGTTTCCTTTGAAACAAGATGGCTGCAAGTAGCATTAAACCCAGTGTGGGTAAGTGATCATACAACATCACTACCTTGGTGCTTTTCATTATAAATAAGCTCAAATTTAAACTGTTTTGCTATCATTATGAAGGTTTTCAGCTGGCTATCGCTCGCTTCATCAACGGGCATTTCAATCAGTCATTTAGCGACGAGAGCAACACTGATTAAAGCACACCTGCTTGGCCTTCTCATGTACTTTCGTCAGCTCCTCTCTGTCTTTCCGTGATTGGTCCTTTAACCTATCAATCTCGTATTTCTGCTCTGCATCCAGCTCCTGATTGGTCCTCTTTAATGAAATAATCTCCATTGTTTTCTTGTCCAGATCCCCCTTCAGTTTGTCCACCTCAGCTTGGGCTTGCTTCAGGTTGGCACGACAACGCTCCAGCTCCTGTGACACATTCAACAAAAAACATAATATAAATAAATATAACAAAAATAAATATATTGCAGAATTGTGTTAGTAAACTTTTTTACTTTAGTAAAACATGTATCTTTGTGGAAAACTGTCTGAGAAAGTCTTTCAGTTTGAAGTATTTAGAAATTAAGCTACATTAGCATACAAATAGTTGGAATCATGTGCCATATCAATATTTTGTTATACAGAATGATACATATTTGAATATTATTTAAATATTATACATTAAATATTATAAATGAATTGCCAAAAGGTGTATTCAGACGTTTTAATCAAAATCAAAAATTTGGTGAACAATGTTATTAAAGTTATCTATTTACATTCATTTTCATACATTTTTTAACTGCAGGGTGTTCTGGATATTAATTTAAATTTTAACTGAATTCTCCATATAATATTTGTTTCTCATTCTGGACCCTTACAGCTTTCTCGTGTCCTACTAATTATCTCAAAGATACAGAGCACCGCTGGTGACAATCTGAATAAATAAAAATAATGCGAATAAGATAATTAAGTTGTGGCCCTGACTTTGTGAGGCATGGGAATGAAATCCTAATGTATGGCCACTGCTTAATTATCTCATTTCCACACCTTACTAAGTCGTGGTCACGCATTAGGATCTTGATCCCATGCGTTAAAAAGGCGTGCCCATGCATTATTTTTATTTATGTGGGAAGTATAGATGCTGTACTAGATTAACGTATTATTATTAGAACTATTTCATACATTTAACCGCAATCAAATTGGTTTTAAACTGCTGAAAACTACATTTTTGAACAGTTATTCCAAAGTTTTGCATAGTAATGTACGCATAATTCATTCATGGAACTAGTTACCAGAGTAGTATAGTGGGCAAAGTTTTCACAAGCTCCTGCCTAATCGCTGTGGATACCTAAAAACCTTAAAGTAACCGGAACTACTCTGTTTACTGCGTTGCAGTTTGAAAGTCAGGAAAAACACCTTTGGTAAGACATTCTCTCACATCAGTCTCATTGCAGCTACTGTTTTTAGAGTTTAATTGTTGTAGTTCATGTTATGTGGGATTCAGCAACTGCCCCATAACTTCTATTATAAACGAGTTTAGAGTTATCAGGTTTTCTGTTGTTTTAAGTACAGAGAAAAGAAACAAAGTTACTGTCTGTGGTGAGTGATGGTATAATATATACAGGCAGACAGATATTAGGCTGAAAAACACGAGTTTTCCTTTAAATTAAATGATAGATGTTCATTTGGGGTGTCTTAGTAAGTACCTGGTTGAGCGTTTGACTTTGTTTGACGTCGGGGATCTGCTGTTTCATCGTGTTCAGTTTCTCCTGGAGCTCCTTTAGCTCCTCTTCAAACTCTTCTTTTTCTAGTCGAGCCTGCAGAAGCCTAAAATTCACACACACAAAATAATAAAATACAATACAGAACCATCAATGTTTATGAATTAGATCCAGTTTGAACTCCATCCCAGTTGTAAAAATTTTCCAATGAGTGCACCTCCAGTCAGAGTAGTAGGGCTGTCATTATCAATTATATTAGTAACTGAGTAGCATTACTACTACTAAGTGCTGACCGGTCAGCATTACTGCTACTGAGTGCTGACTGGTCAGCATTAGTGCTACTGATTGCTGACTGGTCAGCATTACTGCTACTGTTATGTGGATGAATGGAGCAGCATTTTATTATTGTTGAAAATGTAACTAAATGCTGGTGGATACATTAAAAAGCTAACTATTATCTATAAGCTAGCCTATATAAAGATGTATTATTTGGAGGGCTCATCCAGAATATTGTTAAAACTGGGGGATGCTGACATCAATATGAAATACATGTTAGAATCATAATACTTTGATATCTCTTAATTGGAGAAAAATCAATCTGTGTACTAAGTGATTCCAATGTTAACAAAAAGGTTAATAATGAAAATGTGATCCATTTGTACTCGTCAAAAAGATTCATTTGAATCATTTACAATAGACAAATGAATCAACTCAGATACCTTCAATTAATCAATAATGACATTTCTACATTCACATTTCTACATTCATATTTCTACAGCTACACTACAGGTTCCATTCAGGCAGTCTGAGAGCATCTCACTCAGGTTTGTGATGGACCAGCTGCTTTCTGCACCAGCCAAGTGTATAGAATGTAAAAAAAAAAAAGATAATGCATGTTAATGTACCAAATGCTACTTCCAGGGAGTGAATATATGCTTAAAAGATGATAATGTTTGTTTTGTAGATAGACACATGTATAGCAAGCATTAAAAGGAAAATACATAGTCAAACCTTTATCAACTTGGCTGCACAGAGTAAGAGCTTTGTGTGTGCTACTGCATTTTCTATCATTGTATAAATATGCACAAGGCTTCCTTTACTATTCTTTTCCTTTACTTCACTGTTTTCTTTTGCTCTTTTTCATTTAGAACAGAATTTGGAAATTCAAAACAGTAAGCGTGATTTATGTGTGACATATCAGACTAGTAAGCGTGACTATTCATGTGTTTCAGTTTTGCTGGATCACTATGCATACGCATCAAACAAACACAACAACATTCCGAAATCACATTATTAATGGAAAAAGTAGATAAAATAACACAAACAGACTTTTTTACATCAACCTTAAAGGCTTAAATTTGACAGTTCTTTAGAAAAAAAACAAAAACAAAACTCAACACTACTCACTCCTGTTTGGTGTTGCGGAGCTCCTCTCTGGTGCTCTGAAACTGCCCTCTCCAGTGGTCTCCTTCCTCTTTACATTCTTCAAGCTGCTGCTGTAGGGAGCGCACTGTAGAGTTCACACGCTGACGCTCTGCTTCTATAGTTGCCTGCGACTGAAAGTTGTGAGTGTGAGAGAGTGTACGGAGCGGTATACAGTAAAATACAAGGAACATTACCATTTACTCAGCCATTACAACTTTTTTCCATTTGAATGTTAGCAAGTAAATTGTTAGTCAATACTTGAAATGTTGCGAAAACCTACATTATGGAAACCATAATGCATTTACGCATAAATGGACTACAAAGGCATGGTTGGAGAGGTAGAGCTGAACTGAGAAGTAGGTCTGGGCATTGATGATTGACAACCCGATATTGAGGTGTAAAAGTGCTGAGAAAAAGGAGGAAGAGACGAGAGTTTTTAAAAGGAGCGGTATGTTTCAGCTCTTTCAGAGAGATGCCAGAAAAGACTACAGCCTTTCGAAATGGAAAGTGGAAACAGCTCAATATGGCAGAGAAACATGATCTCTCACTTAATAGTTCCAATAAATAAATAAAATTTAGAAAATGAGAAAAATTAGAAATTACCTCATTATGAGAGGTATTTTTACTGCTAAAAATCGGTTTGAAAATAAGCTGCTGGGCAGAAAACTTTTTTTATGTTCTTTTTATGCATTTTTATGTTCATTTTTACATTTTGCACAGAAAGTCAATGAAAACACAGCTAGTGCTTAATGCAGGAGCATACTGAATGTGGCATTTAGTGATGCAGTTGCCTTTTCTGGCCTAAAATCCTCTCTTCTTGAGTTTCTAAAAATTATTTCTGCTGATTGAGTTCATGTATAATCCTTTTTTGGGTGCAGGGCTGTTTGTAGTTTACAGTTTTTGGCCTCATCACAGTATCCACAATATGGTAAAATCCATATTATGATGCAACGTAGTACTGGTACTCCCTGTTATACCGGTTTACCACCCACTCCAGAGCACATACCTGTGAAACCTGCTCCATGCTGGCTCTCAGTTTCTCCATGTCCTGGCTGTATTGCTCTCGGAGAGTTTCCATCTCTCTGTCATGGGTGGACACCTCCTCCTTCAGTGCACCTTTCAGAGCGGTCAGCTCTCGCTCCCTCTGTCTCAGAGTGTCCTCCTGCTTCTGATGCAGCGCCGCTGCTTCGGCCAGCTCAGTACGCAGGGCCAGCAACTCCTACAAATATTGCAACATTGCGAAATGAAAATCATTCATTTTAGTTCATTCAGAATATTAATTTTCCTGTAACTTCATTCCGGATATTCATTTTATTATAACCTAGTTCTGAGTATTAACTTTACTATAACTTGATTCTGGATTTTTTAAAAATTATAACTTCATTCTGAATGTTAATTTTATCATGATTACATTCTAGACATAAATTTTATAGTTAAACCATTTTGAAAGTGAACTGAATTAAAACTTGTATTTGGATATCATTTTTTTATGATTTCCTTCTGGGTGTTATTTTATTATAACTTAATTATTGATATTCTAGCGCTCTGTTTAATCATATCTTTCTTAAATAATTTTATACATTTATCTGCAAAATATTATTATGTTATTAAACAACTGATTCCAGACTTTCGGACTGTAGTGCATTTTCTCTGTCCAGTGTGTACATGTTAAAAGTATTCATGTTAAATATTACGGAACATATGCAAACAATGTAAGTGGGTTTATAACTGTGTGTACGTACTGCTTCTATAGTGTCATTCTGTGCTCTGTTGTGCGTCTCTCTCCTCAGCTCATCCTGCAGCCCCGCCAGCTGATCCTCCAGCTGTCTGACCCGAGATTCTGCGTTCTCTCTGTCCATTCGCAGCTGAGTCAGCCTGAGAGGGCAACACACACACACACACACACACACACACAGACACAGATTACATTATACAGATGTTAATCATGAATACACAGCATGTAAATGTGTGTGTGTGTCTGTTTTGTCATATAGTTACTTGCAGATATATATAACATATATGGGATGTATCCATAGTATTTATAGACATAAAAATATCCAATATTGGGGCATTTTATTTTACATAAGTACTTACATATTACTCTTTGCATAATGTTAACATGTCACAATGGCAGACCAAAATCAATGGTCAAAAAAACTTCCATTACAAGTTAAGAATGTAGGAGAAGCATGTTTTTTTTCTCCCCACATTGATTATACATATGTATATAGTCACGTGAAGAAGTAAGTGTACCTCATGAAATGCTCACATCCTCTAAAATTTACAGATGGGCTTACATTCTCTAAAAAAGAATTCAGAGTAGATTTTATGGCTGCAAGTCGACTAGGAACTGAGGCAGCAATGCAGCCCCAAACAATAAAACTTCCACCACCATGCTTTACAGTTGGTATAAGGTTCTTTTTTAAACCAAACATGGCTTCTGGTGCTGTGGCCAAACTACTCTTTCTTTGACTGTCTATAGCACACTGTTCCAGAAGTCCTGATCCTTGCCTAGGTATTACATGGTAAACAAATATTTTGGATATCTTATTAAACCTGATTTCAACTTGACACATTTGAAGTAAAGATATATATATATATATATATATTTGAAGGGGGGGGGGTACTTGGATTTCTGTTGATTTCAATAATATAAAGATGATAGAAATGTTAATTCTAAGTGTCACCTGTCAAATTATATCACCTTTATTCATCAACATTGTTTAAATGATGGCTGGATATATGTATTGCCAAACATGCTGAAAAAGTCTGAACTTTTCACAGTATGTACTGTATAGGACATAATATTAACCCATGTCCTCACATTGTATAAAAACAAGTGTGTGTGTCTTACTCAGTATGTGTTTGATCAAGATCCGTCTTCTTCCGGTTCAGTTGTTCCTGGAGATGCACATTTTCATCCAGACTCTGTTCAAGCTGTGTTTTAAGAGCAGAGTCTGGTCTGTTTACCTGTGAATGGAGACCACATTATCACACTGGACCTATTACTACTGTAAAAAGATGTTTTCAGACAGGTGTGGTAACAGTATACTGCCATCAGGCTAGCCAGGCAGAGATTAGTAGTCAAACTCACATATGCCCTAAACACAGCATGCAACATCAAATTACCAGATTAAGCTAGATTACATTCTAATTATCCCACAGAGTCTATAATCCCTCTGCGCCGTTATCATAGTCGTGAGCCACTGGGAAACATAATAGGCTTGTGTTCTTTCGCCCTACTTACAAATCACAATCTGGGTAATCGCTCAAAATAACATAGTAGAATTTAACCATCTTTGTGTTTTACATGAAAAGAAAATATAGAAATGCATATGCTACAACAATACACACTTGCACAAATTGGTGATCATCTACTTTAAATTCCTTAAAGTAAACTTTAATATTAAATAATAAGGATTTTCCATACATCTTAAGTATTCTGATGGTTTTTATATTTTCTTTAATATACCTTTTTTATATTTTTTTAAATACATAAAGGACGTGGATTTGGAACTCACTCGCTCGTGCACATATAGCAGTTTGCACAAGGGGGGAACTATTAGCACGCAGGTCAATCTGTGCATGTCATTCAGAGAGAACAAACAGCCATGAACCCACACAAGCGCAAGGTCACAAATGCACATGTTTGCAGTCACTTGCAACATGTTCCAAAAAAGTTGGGACAGAGACATATTAACCACTGTGTGACATTACTTTTGCTTTAAACAACATTCAGTAATTGTTTGAGAACTGAGGACACAAGCTGTTGTAATAGTGAATGTGGAATTTCCTCCCTTCTTGCTTGATGGATATAATGCTACAGTCTGGGGTCTTCAATACTGTGTATTGCGCTTAATCATGCGGCACATGTTGTCAACGGGCAGGCCAGTCCAGCACCTGCACTCTCTTACCCCTCAGAATTAATGCTGCCTTCACAAACGTGCAAGTTAGCCACCCCTATACCATGACGAATGCTGGCTTTTGAACTTCACACTGCTAACAACTGGAACAGTCATTTTCTTCTTTTGCACAAAGAACACAACATCCTTTATTTCCAATAACAATCTGAAAGGTTGACATGTCAGACCCCAGCACACATTTCCACTTTGTGTCAGTCTATCTCAAATGAGCTTCAGCCCAGAGAATTAGGTGGCGTTTCAGGATGTTGTTGATATATTGCAACCACTATGCACAGTACAGTCTTAACTTGCATTTGTAGATGGAGCGACGAACAGTTTTTACTAACAATGGGTTTCCGAAGTATTCCAGAGCCCATATGGTTATATTTATTAGTGAAGCATGCAAATTTTTTATGCAGTGCCATCTGAGGCACTGAATGTCACAGGCATTCAATTATGGGTTTTAGCCTTGCCCTTTATGCACAGAGGTTTCTCTGGATTCTCTGAATCTTTAATAATGTTATCAACTGTAGATGGTGTAATGCCTAGAGTCCCTGCCATAGCATCGAAGACATTTCATTTTTAGAATGTTTGATGAATGAGGCCCATTGTTCTTAAACCACTGGCCCATTTTTGGAAAAGCTGCAAGCCTCAGCCAATCCTCGCTCTTAAAGGATGAGTCCTTTTCTGGATGCTCATTTTATACCCAAGCATGATTGTATCATCCGTAAAAGATGTTTTTGGAACATTTAACAATGTTTCTAGTCTTAAACTGCCCATGATGATTTTTTTTTGGAATGTGTTGCAGGAATCAATTTCAGAATGAGCATATATTTATGAAAAATAATGAATATCAAAAGGTAAAACAATAAATATCTTCTTTTTATACTGTTAAAAAACCATAAAGTAATTCATCACAACAACAATAAATTTCATCACACTGCCCACCCCTACTTGGCCAGAGTTGATGTAAGGGGACAGTTTTTAATATGATTTTTGGCCTAACAACTGCAACTATACAGGCTTATTTAGTTATTAATCTTCAGACTTTGCAGTTTAAGGGGTTAAAGCAGCAGAGCCATCAGTTGTGTTGCCTTTCTTTCGAATATATTGTGCTAAGCAGGCCACTGCTTAATCCTCACAGACAGCAAGACCTGATCTTTACCCCAGTCACTTCTGTGTGTGTTAAAAGAAACTGTGTGAAGATTCGAAACTCATACATCAATGTGTCTGTTTACTGGGAAGACTATTTACTTGGAGAACTAAAAGCTTATTTAGTGTGTGTGTGTGTGGTGTGTGTATGTGTGTGAGTTAGAGAGAGAGATTTCAGGATAGGATACGTTCCAAGCTGCACTCACTCTAAATTGGGCTCAGCTGTTAAAAGTGCTGTTGGATCCGCTGCCAATTCATTATAGAGTAGGGCAACGTGCCAGCAGCCGTTAACGTGATGCCCATTTCAGCGCTGCCCGCCTGTGAGCTCAGCTCTGTGCCAACTTGGCCAGAGAGAATCTCAGAAGGCACAAAATATAAAAATCAGCTCTTAGGCTTCATGGTTCTTCTGGGAGGAATAGATATGACTAATTTAAAGTGATGCTTAAGCCGAAAAATTAAATGCCTACAATTTTCTAATATACACAATTATCCCAAGTGTAATCAATCAGCCGCTGTACAGTCGTACGCAGAAGTCATGTACTGTTGATTTTCAAAGCGAAAATAAGTTAACACTTCGTCCACTGAAAACAAATATCTGCACATTTTAATGCACAATTGCTGTTTAACTGCACATACTGGAAAAAAAGGGAATAAAATAGGCAAAAGTTATATATATTATGTTTGTTTTATTTTATTCCCCATTATGGCCAACTAAATAGCTGTGTAGAGTGTAGAAAAAATAAGCATGTCCTCTACAGGGACACAAATATTGCATGTCTCTGCATATTTTAATGCACAATTATTATATATAATATATAATATATATAATATTTTTTTGCTGGGTTTAAATGTTGAAAAAAAAAAAAATTAATATTTAAAAGATAAAATATTAAAATACATATGCACATGCCACATTTTATTGCTTTATTTCTTGTTCCAAAATGTTAAATTAAGCAGATGTACAGTAATTGTGCACTAAAATGTGTAAAGGATATGTTTATTTATTTTCACATAATAAAGCAACATTTGGTGCCCAAACTTTTACATATGACTACATTTGATGGCAGTGTTAGTAAAAGAGGTGCTATTAATAACTGCTTTGTAAAAAAAAAAAGTGTATAATAAGTTCTCCACGATCAAGAGGTAAAATATTAAATATTTACTTTTTATTCTGCTATAAAGCATAAAGTATTTCATCACAACAATATTTTTCACCACATTGCCCAAATATACAGTAATTGTGCACTAAAATGTGTAAAGGATGTGTTATTTTCACTTAATAAATCAACAATCATTTGGTGCCAAACTTTTGCATACAACTGTACATATGGGGTCAGAGGTGCTAATACCAACTGTTTTTGTAAAAAAACACCTCACGATTTGAACATGTTAAGTCAATTAATCAATACAATAAGTCATTATTTTGTCATAACAATAAAAATTTCATAAATTAGTAAAACTCTTAAATGGTTAACCCCTATATGAAAGGCCCTATTGGTACAAACACCGGTGTCTGCGGCCTGTTTATCTGACTCTTCCAAAGTTTCAAACAGAAACAGTGGTAAAACAACCAGAAGGAACATGTCTATGCTCCATACATCAAAACATGTTCCCTGAACAAACAGGCTGCAAATATGAATAAAAATGTATATCCTTATTTTCAATATAGGCCTACAAAAAGAAACAATATATGAGAATAGACAGCACGTTTTAAGCATTTTTAAAGGCTGTTAGTTCAGGAAGTTGTTGTTAAGCTGTGGACATGGCTATTTTGTAATTGGCTGTTTAGCTCCTAATGCTAATGTACCAGCTAAACTTACTACGTCAATATGGCACTGCTCGTTTTTAAAATTTGATTCATTCGATCTTGGCAGCCTTTGAAGATGTGTCTATTGTGGAATCTCCTATCGAGATAACAATGAGGTTACGGTTTATTGCGTGACTGTTACAGCTATATTCTCTGCATGAAATTATAATAAAATTATGTTTGTGTTTCAAAAGTGACCATACATCTCCATGAAGAAAAACTCCCCTAAGTAGTAATATTTACCTTTTTTTTTTTTCTTAAAAAGTGTGTCATTTGCAAAATACTGGAAATTGTGAACACAATATCTGAAAGTACCTTTTCTTGTGTAGTTTATATAATACGGATTATATCTTTTATGGCATATAAATAACAAGTATAAGCATGAGAAGTGATTCTAAACTTTCGAACATGAGTGTATATAGAAAACAGAATTTAAATCTCAAACCTCTCTTTTCTTGTTAGCAAAACAAACAAACAAACAAATAAACAAACAGTAAAACGAAAATCAGATGTAAAGTATATTCTTATAAATTTGCTTTCTTTCTCACAATGTTTTTGGGTCAAGCCAGGGTTACAATACACAACTTATATCCCGATTTTAGCCGTTTCTCAGTCTGGCTGGGTCTGTGCTAGCTGGCTCTAGTCTGCAGATTTTGGGTCAGTCAGAGTCAACAGTCAGAGAGAAAATCGAGTAGCACAGACTCAGATTGTTGGCCTCCCAGACCAGTCAGAGTTTATCAAACGGTTGATTTTTTCGACTCGACTCTGAGCGTAAGCTAGTGTAACCTGGTCAACGATTCAATCTGAATGGACTCCTGCAACAGCCAATGAAAACAGAGTGCAAAAGAAGAAAACACAGCAAGTAAACAAAGAAAAATGGTGTCATGTGTGGAGCAAAGCTTTTTAAAGAGCTGAGTTTAAGGCACAAGCTCAATCACATTTATGTATGTTTAAAAATCTAAAAACTACTGCACTGACCACATTTTTAAATCCATGATCCTCACTTAAACATCTTTACCTGCTACTTCTTTACTGTGTTAGAGCAAACGGCAGAGAAAACAGCAGCATCGAGCAGCTCCACATTTCTTTATTTGGGTCTTTTAGTAACGTGAGAAGGTTTGCAAAAGTTCAGCGAGTCCCGCTTGGTTCAGCAGCAGCTTAAAAGTTGAGTAGAGTATGATCCCGAATCATTTAGCATGGGATCCTCAATATTTTAGTCGCCCCAAAAAATCTGCAAAAACCAGTCTGATAGTGTGAGATACCCAGTCTTTTTAAAATCTGTTAAGAGTTTAAAAGTCATGTAGTGAACCCAAGGCTTTAGGCAGATTATGTTCTATTCATATGAAAATAAGTCTAAGATTGCTTTGGTAAGCTGTGCTTCTTGAGTGACTGTATTAGAGGTTCTGCACCGGTTAATGTTACAGGGTGTAAAGTGAAGCCAGTGTGTGGGGTACCTTGAGCGCCTGGATCTTATCACAGATGATGCGAGCTCTCCGTTTAATGGCAGCATCGCTCTCGCTGCTCCTAACGGCAACAGAGACGGGAAGCAAGCTCATCAGCACAGCTTTAAAGCATTTCAAATGTCCACATAGCACCAAAAAGGGCTCTTTTATTGTTACAGTGTTAAGCCTGTAACAACAGAAGAACCCTTTTTGGTGCTATATAGAACCCTTTTCAAAAAGGTTCTATATACAACCATATAAAACATATTCCCCATCAATCTGAAGAACTCTTTCATGATGCAAAGAACCCCTTTAATCATGCAAAGTGTTCTTTGAGTGTTCATCATTCTATCTACAACTATTATTTTAACTGAAGAACCCTTGAAGAACCACCTTTTTTTAAGTGTGTACCATTAGCAAATCAACACACGCTTGCCTCAAACCATATTAAATCATGTCAAATAGATGTTTACAAAGCTTGAAGATGGCTATGCAACATATTTGTTCATTTTTCCTAAGAAGATGCTAACAAGTGAATATAAGCTTCCATTACGTGTTAGCTACGTTAGCATCGTTGATCCAGTGCAAAATTAAAGAATTAAACTTCAGACACTTAACAACTGAGATAAAAGGAATGCTGTAAAAATTTGGTTTTATAACTTCTAGAAATGCTTTTATTTCATCACATACGCAATGCATTCAACTCTGGTCAAATGACACATTTTGTTGAATTCAGAAGTGAAAAAAAGGGATCGCATCCTCTAAAGAAACTTAAATATGACAATTTTCTTCAAATTTTAGTGCAACATTTTTGTTCAAATTTCAGTTTCTATTTATTTGCATAGTTTAACAGTGGGAAAAAACAGCACATAACTTTTTTTTTGCCATAACTTTTGCACAGGCTCCATTTTATAATATGATCGTAAATTTAGTAAATAAACAGTAACAGTGCATTAAAATTAGCAGAACATTTGATGTGTTAATTTATTTTCGCCTAGAAAATCAACAAAACATCATTTGAACAGGGCGTCCAAACTTTTGCAAGAAACTGCATGTGATGAAATAAAAGCCTGTGGCCAAAAACATATTTGCACAATTACTCAATACTGTTTATTTGCAGGATGAAAAAAAAATCCAGATGAAAAATTCCAAAATTCAGATAAAAAAAAAATCATAGAAATGCTCATTTGCACAGTTACTGTTTATTTAATACATTTAAGATCATATCATAAAATGAGACCTATGCAAAAATGTTGGCATGTTTTATTTTTTCCCAGTATGTTAAACTATGAAAATAAATGTGCTCTAGAATTGAACGAAAATTTACTTAGAAGTTCTTCACTATTATCACGAGCCTGTCAACCAAGGTTGGTTTATGCTATTACAGAACAAATGTTACTTGTTGAATAAATGCAATCATTGACTTTCAGTGGCTTAATTCAGAATTTGGTGTGCCTGGGATGCCAGATGTCATATATCCTAAACATAGTTAACATGTTGGATAGGATCTTTTTGAAATATGCTACATAGTAGAACAATGCTTTACCCCTGTCGTAGAACACTGTAGATCATCTGCTGGATCTGATCCTCCTCACTCGTGAACTCTGACCCCGAGCTCTGACCCTGGTCCATCAGAAGATCAGGAGTGACCTGAAGTGAGAAATCAGAGACCACAAATGTAACATAAGATTCAACCCACACAGCACAACTACACATTAATATTAAGTATGAATGCAGCACGCACTGACACCCTTAGAATTAAAGCTTAAGGCTGGACGACAATGTAAAGTTCAGTTACAAAGTGCCACATGTGAGTATTACAGAGCTTTACCACCTGCATTTAATTACCAAAGTAGGTCAATATTTAGTGATGATAACTAAGAACTAACTATCATATCAGTCAGTAAAGCACTGTTTAACTAAAACCAGTGGAGTGAAAATGAAAGTTAAAAATATAAATATAAATTTATACCATTCAATATTAATCAGTTATCAGTATATTTAACTCCTTAAAATAGGTACCGAACCCAAGATTTTCATATCGGTCGCAACCTACTTAGAACAGGCTAAAAAGGCTTCTATTGTCAATTTTAATTTAAATGATGATTGTCTAAATAAATCCAATTCATCAAATAAGAAAAAAAACATCACGTGCTGATATGAAGGCATATATATCAAAGTCCAAGGTCAAGACAAGGCACTTTGCAGTAATCCATCACTCTACATTGTAATCCAAGTACAGTCGGAGCCTACCACACTACATCAGTTTACAGAGCAGGTCTGGTGGATCAACTTTCTAATCTGCTACAGTTACATCCTGTTCTCATTCAGTAAACAGCTACTTGCTAATGAGACCATTTCAACCAGTGAGGGAGACTTTAGCAATTGTTAATCACTAACCGAGGACAGAATCTGGCTAGTTAAACTAGCAGCGTGTCTCATGAACACTTATCATGTCAGGGTGACCTAGTCTGCTTCTGACAAATGGCCAATCAGCTCAATTACGGCTTGGTAGTATATTATCATTATTGGAAAATCCATCACAATGTCACAATATGCTCATGAGTGCTTTAAGAATAGGTCAAATAAGAGCCAGATGCACGCTTCGTTACAAGGAGAGAACAGTTAGGCCTTTTTAAGTAGGTAAAAATGTTGAATAAGTTTGATGCTAGACTCTTTTTTCTAAACATTTTCTGAAGTAACCTAAAGATCTTCGTTAAAGTTCACCAATAGTTAAAAGGTGTGCAAAAACGTTCGGGGGGCATTCTATGTAGAACGTAAAGCAACTACAACAGATAATCAATGCTTTCACTGCCACCATACTAACAAAGATATTTTTGCTGATATAATTGCTTAATATTTGTACTGTTTATATGGGTACTATTACTTGCTCCTCGACTATTGCAACTGATTTTATGTATACTAGGGGTGAGAATCTCTAGGCACCTCACGATTCGTTTCGATTACGATTCAGAGGGCTGCGAAGTGATTATAAAATGATTATTGATGCATCTTGATGCATCTTTTTTTTCTATACAGGATTTCTTTTTTTCTCACCGTGTGATGACCTGGTACTTTTAAAGCAAAGTATTTGTGATAGTCCATAATGAATTTACTTCCAATATCTTTTATTAATAAATCAAACGGAAGCAATGAGGCAAGTGAACTAGAAGGCTCTCATTCACTGCTCTTGTTTGGAGCAAATGAGACGCTGCTGCCACTCATCAGCAATAAAATGCACAGTTACGGTGACATAAGATTCTGTGGCAGTGGATGTCCACGCAGCACATGTTACAGCTATTCTACCCATTTTCTTCAGTGATTCTATAACTTCGGTTTTGGTCTGGTTGTAGAGAGTTGGGGGGGTCGCTGTGTCAATAAAATATGTTCGAGACGGGACGCTGTATCTCAGCTCCAAAGTGTCAAACACAGCGTGAAAGCCCTGGTTCTCAAAGACTGAGTACAGAAGCAAATCTATGGCAATAAAAGTTGTGACAGAGTTTGTAATTCGCTTCGTCCTTTCCGAGTTGGGTGAAAGACATTGCTTGCTTGATGGTCCGCTGGTTGGCAGCAACTACAACCGGGCGGAAAATGGGTGAAAACGTGTTATGTGGTTTTCTCCCTCAACTCCATAGAAGCCAAAGTGCTTCCAAACGCTAGCTCAAGGGTCGGCAACCTGCGGCTCTTTTGCTGGCCTGTTGATGCTCCACAGCAGAATTAGATTTCTAGGTAAAAATAAAATAATCCTCCTTTGCAGTAAAATAAAGCTCGGCTGGTCGTTCAACACAGTTTTAAAAATAAATGATCTTAAAACGCTGGAATTAATGTAGACTCCTGTAGTTCACCTAGTTAGTAGATAACAAAAAGGCAAAAATAAGGATTTAAGACGGACATAGATCATTTGGAGACGAATGGACTTATTTGCATTTATAATCACTCCAGCTGGTTTCCTGATATGTTTAGCCTGCAATGAGAAACTGTCAAACACTAAAATGTTAAACCAAAGTCAGTTTCTCGTTCTCCAGCTTCTCGTTTGAATTTTCCCGTTCTACCTTAAATGGTGCAGCAGTTACATTCTGGCGCCTCAGGCACCATTTAAGGTGGAACGGGAAAATTCAAATGAGAAGCTGGAGAACAAGAAACTGACTTGACATTAAGAGACATTTTACAAGAAACTGTTCTACTTTTGTGGAAAAGTTTCCAGCTGGTCCTGCAAGAAAAGCAGCTACAGCTGAGCTAAAGTTTAAAGCAGAGCAAAGTATGTCTGCGGTTTTATTTGTATTATATTTTCAGCCTGTACTAGGACACATGTACAGCCATAATGGTAAATTGGACTCAAAATTGTTGTGGCTCCCATGGTGGTTTGATTTTTATTGAAAGGACAAAATGACTCTTATTAACATTTGGGTTGCGACCCCTGCACTAGCTTTTAATGTAGTGTGCACAGCGCATACTGTCCGGGCACTGCACTTCCCACCCTTAATGTATACTATAAACTTAGTAGTTAATAAAACTAAAAAGGACTGGAAGAGGTTCACGGCAAGGGCATAGCCAAGGGGTGGTCAGAGATGGCCATAACTACCGTAGCATGACATATGGCCACCCTTCTGGCCAGCCCAGTTATTCAAAGTGAGACATCCATCATCACTAATGCATTTACAAGAAAAATTTTCTCCTGCCTACTTTACAGTGAAAATCTGCCATCAGGATAGTTACCGTCAGATGATGCTGCTCTTACTAACCCGCTTGTCATTGCTCAGATAGGCTACTGCCTGATCAGGCCAATTAAGTGGACATTTCAGCGACAGTGATGTAGCCATGGCAACAAACAACCCCACAACAGCAAGTGGTGGGCTTTCTTTCGCTTTTTAAGCTTTTATTTTCTGGCAGGAATTTGAATATTCTCTGTGAAATATTGAATTACAGAGGTCCAATTATGTCTTGGAAATACACCAATCCACTATCTGAAACTGAGGGAGGCCTTTTCGTACTAAGCACATTTTTTACAGATTTAATTCAACTAAACCTTCAAGTCAAGCCTGTAAGAACACAAGAAAAAGACAAAGAAGAAGAATGGATCCATTGATTTGTAACTACGACCAGGTTCTTATTTTTCTTTTAGCCAGTCTGACTCAAAAATGCAGACACTGAGTAACACCTCATTCTGCATAATAATAATAATAATAATAAAAAAGCTTAACAAATAGCACAAGGAGCTCCACCACCTCACAGGAGTTAAAGCTCTTGATTTTCTCTGAAAGCTACTCTAACCTGATGTCCGTTACAAGATCCACCCACTGGGACAAGCAAATTTAATTTCGATCATCATCACTCACGTGTGCATCCACTGATGACCAGTCATTCGCTAAGGCAGAGGATGGGACGGCTGCAACCTTGGCGACGGATCCAGAGGTCCGGCCCAGGCTGCTGTAAGCTGAAGCAGGTGAGGAGGAGGGGGGAGAAAAGTAGGTGTTTAGAGCCACGGACGGAGCGGAAGACAGGGTGGAGGAGGCGGTATTTGGCCTAGTTACTGCATCCAGAGCAGGAGAGCTTCCCCTAGAGGAGCCTCCTACACTACCAGCTTGGCCTGAAGAGCTGATGATGGGTCTATTGAATGGTGTCTGGGTGGAGTTAGGGCCTGCTCGGCTGGTGTAGTGACCACTCCCCCCTCTCAGGGTTTCCCTCTCCACTGAGCCGTTGAGTCCCATTTGGTGGGAACCTCCCCACTGGTTCCGCTGTATTCCTCCTCTCGTCCGTTCCCTTTCTGAACCCACGCCGATGCCCGCATCCAGGTTGCCATAACTGCCGGAGCGTCCATCACCCGGAGGGCGCCTGAAGTCATGGTCAAAGTCGTCACCACCCTCTCGGTCCAGCAGAGAGCCGTGGGACTGAGCCCGACGCAGGGGACTGCCATCCGGGGAGGAGAAATACGGACCCTGTACTGACCCGTCATCTCTTCTCCTATAGGGCCAGACAAATGTAGAAAACAGTATTAGAGCTTGCAGCTATATCGTAGATAGCATAAATCATTGAGCATATGCCTTCAACACTATAACACAGCATAAGAATTACAGTATCATTGAGAGTCTCTAAGCTACCTGAACGTTTTCTCTTAATGATACGTGAAGGAGGTAAAACATGATATACTATATGTAGCATAAAGTATGTGGAAGCATCTAGGAGCAAAAACAGCTCAGCGGTGAATGGGGCAGAGCACACAAACACACAATTTGTTAACTGATTTATTTATTTACTTATGTTACAGAGATACTTTGTTGTTTTCGCTGAACAATTTCTTTAAATATCCTGAAATTAAGCAGCAAAGGCCTTGACCGTGCAATGCAAAGACACTGCATTCAGGTGGCTTATCTGCCTCAAATCCATTGAAGAAACCGTAATTCACATTTCCACTGCAAACATTCCATAATGGAATTCAAATCTTCAAAAATGTATTATTGTGCCCGTTAGAAAGTATCTGAGCTCAAAGAAAAATCATACTATGCAAATATGTGTAAGGTAAAGCATTTATACAGTAAAAAGCAATGTTTTTGTGACTGCCAGTGTGTTAATGCTTACTGTAGAAACTTGTACGATTATATCTTGTATGATTTGTTTTCTCTGTTAAAAAGTGCTATTTTCAGATGACCGACATCACAAAAGTCACAAAGAAAAAAAAAGTGAAGAACCCCTGAAAAGGCTGTCCCTGATTGGTCAGAAGCTCATCCACAGCTGTTTACGGTCCAAAATCCCAAATTTAACATGTCTGGAGCAGGTTAGACATGACATATAAGTAGCCCTGGTGATGTAGCCTGTTAAAAAGTGTCAGACAGTGTCAGACAGAAAATCCAAATTAAGTTTAAAGTGGGCTAAACAAGACATTCTGTTTCACAAGACAGGCCCTTATTGGACTTTCAATATGTTTACTTTAACTTTCAGCGTTCATCTAAGAGAATTTTAATTGCCACTGAACTTAATTCTGATTGATCTGCACACTACTGTCAGTACTGTTTGGGCCCAGATCTCAAAATTAATGAATGTTTGAGATCACTTGGATTGTGAGAAGCAGAAACTGCTAAACTAACTTCTAAAACTGAACTTTGGAGCTGTAGAAAAATATTCCCGCAGGTTTCTTTGAAAAACTGAAAGCAAGTCTCCTGAAAAGAATGGAAGCTGTAATAGAAGTAAGAAGCACTAAATACTAAAGAACCTGATGTTACATTTAGTTGGTGTTGCTTCTGCTAAATATATTTTTCTGTTTTTGTTTTGTTTTTTTTTTTCCCGAAGCTGTGAAATGAATAACTTCTAATTAATGGCTGTTTTGACTGGAAATGAAATAAATAAATGGGCGGTCTCTGACTCTTCTATTCTGTATTAGTGTATACTGTGTGTGTACTTTACCTGGGTAAACTGTTGTAAGACGGAGGAGCGTCGCGTGGCTGTGTTCGGAGCTGCACTCCGTATGAATCTCCTTTCTCTCCTTCCTTCAGTACCACATAGGGCTGGCCTGCAATGCCCTGCACTCTAACAGCCACACCATATCGGGACGAGGATTTCCCGGAGCCTTCTCGACGAGACTGGCCTCCATGACCCCCTCCAGTGTCATGCAGGTCCTTTATGAAGCGGATCTGAACCCCATAGTCCACTGGGGTCTTTCTGCCTGACGCAGGTGCAGACATACTGCATCAGAGAAGAAAGGAAAAGAGGAAGAAAGAGTAATAATTATAAGATAAATATGGAAAAAATTACTACAGCGGTCAAGTTAAGGTCAAATCAACGAAAGCTCTGTTTTAGAGCCGCTTAGCTCTTGTGTGTTTAGTGCTCGGTCAGTGTTCAAACAAAGAGTGAACACACACCCATATCCAAGTATTTTAAGAGGATTATGTGCAGCCAGAATAATAAAATAATAATAAAAGTGGTACTGGTGTTTGTTAATGGTAAATACAACGTATATACAATAAACTTCTACAATTCTGGCCACAGATTCTTCATTTTGGCCACAAGATCCAATGGCTTGGTGGCTTGAGTGGCTAATGCAAATATTTTATTTACCCTTGTTTTTTTTTCTTCACACACTATGTACTAGAAGACTGTAACTGTACACGTTCAGTAAGCCTCAAGGTTCTTTCACCATACTGAAAAACACAAGGGAGGGGGTCTGAGTCTGCTTCGATTGTGGGTCCGTTTATAGAGGTCAGAGTTTGTTTGATGTGTTCACATATGCACAGAAAACCATGACTCAGCGGTCTGAGACCACTTGAAACTGTGAAAGAGCTTTAAGACTCTGCCGGAACTTGGTCACATGGCTCATAATTCCTTTAAACACCCTGCGTATTTCTCTTTGTGCCACACACAAAGCCAAAGTAAACTTGACCACAAAGTAAAACATACGTGGGAACTGATATTTGTAGTATAGTTATAGGTATAATACAATGAACAGGCAGGCAAGGCGCATTAGAAAATGTTATGTTATAATATAATATAATGTAATATCTTGTAATATGTCTATTTAATTCAGCATATAAACCGTTCTGAGAAACAGGCTCAGGGATAAATACTGTCATTGAAATTACATAAGAAGATGGCAAACGTTTTATTTTAAAGGACAAACTTTTGATTAGTTTGCTTATTTAAATAATGCATTTGAAGTGTTTGTCTTTAGCTGTAGGCTTCTGCATGAATGTACTACTGACTGACAAATAAAGAACAATACTGGTAACCAATTCAAATAAGAGATTTTTGCCCTTTTGTGTGTATCAGAGTTGGATGGGACTATTGGAAGATGCTGTTTCTCCTCTTAAAATGATGCATACTGCGGGGTGCAGAGTGCTGAAGCATGTAGTGTAGAAAAGTTGTCTATTCTTTGTTGAATCACTCACTACAGAGCTCCAAACTTCCTCTGGAAGCAACACCAGCACAAGAGCTTTATAAGAAAACAGCTGTACACAAGCCCAAGCGTGCTATGTGCAATGCCAAGCGTCGGCTGGAGTGGTGTAAAGCACGTGTAAAGCAAATGTATTCTCTAGTGATGAATCACACTTTACTACCTGGCAGTCTGATGGACAAATTTGCGTTTGGCGGATTCCAAGAGAATGCCACCTAACAGAATGCATAGCACCAACAGTATAGTTTGGTGGAGGAGTTTGGTGGGGCTGTTATTCAGGGTTTGGGCCCCTTAGTTCCAGTGAAGGGTGATGTTAATGCTACAGCATACAAAGATCTTTCAGAGAGTTATATGCTTCCAAATTTGTGGCAACAGTTTGAGGAAAGCTCTTTCCTGTTCCAGCATGACTGTTTTCATGTGTACAAAGTGAGCTCCATAAAGACATGGTCTGATGAGTCTGGTGCAGAGGAATACCAGTGGTCTGGACAGAGCCCTGATCTCAACCCCACTGAACACTGACTGTGAGCCAGGCCTTCTTATTCAACATCAGCATCTGACCTCACAAATGCTCTTTTGACTGAATGGACACAAATTCCCACAGACACACCCCAAAATCTTAAGGAAAGCGTTTCCAGAAGAGTGGAGGCTGTTTCAGCAACAGAAAATGGGGCAAATTCATGTTAATGCCGATGATTTTGGAATGGGATGTCCAACAATCTCATATAGGTGTGATGGTCATGTGTTCACATACTTTTGGCCATATACAATAAACATGTTTCTATAATTATAGACACAAATTCATAAATTCTGGCCAACAGATTCACCAGCTTGGTGGACAATTGCAAGTCGGCTCCCCTCTGCATGCTAGTAACTAACTGTGATATTTTAGTACTGTGACAATGGTTGATTGAAAGTGCATGTTACCAATACACAGGAATTGCCTGCGATTTGTCACTGTTGACTCATCAGCATGATCTGAAATTGGCAGTGTGCTCTCACAATAGACTCAATAGAAACTCAATAGTGACTCACCTGCTTTATAGCACTGTTGATACTGTACATAAGAATTTGATAACAGACCTACACATAATCACACAAAGCTTTGTGACATTCGAAAAATTGCAATGTCACAATGAACTATTTAGTAATTTATAAAATTAACTTGAATTTATACTACTGGAAGAACCGCTTTATGTTCTACCTTATCAGGAACTGTTGAAAATAAAAATAACTCTGTAAAACCTATCAATTTTTAACGTATTCCACAATACTGGACTTTGAAATACTGACATTGCAAAAGGCTTCAATATGCATAAAGAAGAAGTTTCAGAAGAATTCAAATGTGATCACACAGCCCATATGTGAATAATGTTGGTCAGTTTTTTAGTCATGCAATCAATGTCAATTAGAGGTATTTTTTCAATGGAAGGCATATCACAACCACAATACAATCATCACATAATAAGTCAAGCAGTAGTGTAGGCTCTGTTGCAGTTTACAAAATCAATTCTACCATTTGAGGAGATTTCTAACTGGGACTTGGGAGTGTTGTCAGCTGATGATAGTGCTTTAGCCATTCCAGCATACTGTCACAGTATTACAGTACACACGCGAAGGTTGGCCAAAAGAGAGTCAACATCTGTTATGGACTCGGTCATTATGTCCAAGAGACCATTACACAGCATAGATTACACTGCAAACAAACTAACTTCCTTAATACACGCTACTCAAAAGTTTGGATACATTTACCTAAATGGATGTCATCGTCTTAGAGGAATACTGCAGCATTTTTCAACCAAACTTCTAGACGCCTCACCTGTAGCATGCAGTTAATTACCACAGACAATAATTTTAACATTTCCCTGGACAGTAAACTCCTGGAGCCCAAACATACTTTAAACAGAAGCTGAGAGCCCATTAACCTCTACTGTAAGTGTTTTGAATAGTGAGGCACAGAAATTAAAATCTTGTCTGAAACCAAAATTCAACACACACCTGGCCAAAAACTTGAAACCAAAACCAAAAGGTTTTTTTAATCCCTTGGAATAAACATACTTAAAGGTGCAGTGTGTACGATTTCAGCGGAGCTATTAGCAGAAATGGAATATAGTATACAAAACCATGTTTTCATTAGTGTATAATCACCTGTAATTACAAGCTATTGTGTATTTGTTAGCTCACAATGAACCCTTCATATGTACATATAGAGCGGCTCCTTTTCCAACAGAAGCAGTCATGTCAAGCCGCCATATTTACACAGTAGCCCAGAACAGACAAACCAAAACACTAGTGTGCTATTCGCATTTTTACTTTAAAGTGGCTGCTTGAATTTGGTGGAACACATAGTTGGAACACATAGAAAGAAAAAGAATCCGTGGCTGCTGTCTGTGCTGGGTAACTGTTTTGTTTTGTGGGAAGGTTGAGAACCCGTATTTTGACAAATGGAGGATCATACTTAAAAAGGGAGCGTGAATCCCTCCATCGTAGGTTCTTCTAGATGCTTAGAAAGGGAGGGGTGATGCCACTAAATCTTACACTGCATAAACACTACAAGGTAATACAGAAAATACACATTATTATTGATGTAAAATAAGCTTTTAATAAGACAAAACTGAGCTGACCACAAAAACAGTTGATATGAAATAAATGTACTAAAATTATTAGTGTGTAGGCTACCGTATATACCACAAAATCCAACCAGACAATGGTTGTTCATCCAAAGCAACGAATTCCAATATTTTCATTTAAAATTTGCGCTTTGGCTGTCATTGGTGAATTTTTGTTTCATTACTTCAAAAACTGAGGCTAGAGATGGCAACATTGTGCTACATGGCACTGTTGCTTTGCTGTGTTCTGTGTATGGAAGGGATGTTGTGTTTAAGTGGTATCGAACCTGTACTTGTTAAACCCTCTTTTGATGCTCAGCATAAACAGTGATTATTAATCTCATCTAAAGCACTAGTAGAACTGGTGCAATAGCTCAGTGCAGCCAGCTCTTCCCCCATTGATGATCTGCTTCTGCTCAAACTCTTTGAACGTAGCAGCCGTTTCTCAATTTTACTATAATTGAAATTATTTGTTAAGTCTTAGATTTTGACACTTCATTGTAGTCCTGTTTAATTTTTTGTTAGCACAAAAGTTATGCCTGACCATTATCGGCAGAAATATTTCGGTGGACAAATTTTCTGTGTGTCCCTAGATTTGAGTCAACTCTGTCTGAGATTAGGTAATAAAACCCTGCAGAATTCATTTTACCCAAAATTCTTATGATTAAATGCTTGAAACTTGTTACTAAGACAAACAAATAGCGAACTTGAAGTCTGTATATGAATTTGTTGCTCCTAGACACTTCCATTTCACAATAATAACTTACAGTTGACTGGGGCAGATCTAGCAGGGGAGAAATTTTACAGACTTGTAGCAAAGGTGGCATCTTATGACAGTGTCATGTTAAAGTCACTGAGCTCTTTGATACGAGCCATTCTGCATGAGTATGAGCTTCATTTTATACAACTTTTAGCAATGGGTGTGGTTGAACCACCCATAATTAGGAGGGCATATTGTAGTTCAGAAGAGCAGAATATTTAAGTGATGTTGGGCTACTGTACTAGAATGTATAAATGTCTGCATTTAATTCATTTTACTTAATTTGTAATGCGGATCCAGGTAGTTCTACATTTCTACATTTTATTAACATTTATGTACAAAAAGTAGGGGATAATATCTGCATTAGAACACAACTGCCACATTGGTACATCCCTAAAAGTAATGTATACCCCTATATGAGCAGGCTTTT